CTGTCTGTCCGTCCTCGCTTAATCTCTGTGACCGTTAGCACTAGAAAGCTGAAATTTGGTAACAATATGTGTATCAACCATAAATACAATCACGCCGACAAAGTGGTAAAATAAAAATTGGATTTTTTTTATTAGGGTAGCCCCCATAATGTGTAAAGTGGGAAGTGATTTTTTTTTTTAATTTCAACCCTAACGTGTGATATATTGTTGGAAAGGTATTTAAAAATGAATAGGGGTTTACTAAAATCATTTTTTGATAATGTCAATAATTTCGGAAATAATCGCTCCAAAAGTAAAAAACAATGTGTCCCACCCCCCTCTAACTTTTGAATCATAAGTTTAGAAAATATGAAAAAAATCTGAAAAGTAGAACTTTATAAGGACTTTCTAGGAAAATCGTTTTGAACTTGGATGGAAACAACAGTACCCACTACTGGGAGCAGTTGCAGGAGCGCGGAACGTTGCTGGAGCGCGAACATAATGGATACCCACCTTTAAACTCATAAGTGGGAACACTTATTGTGACGGACGGGAAACTACGGAACCCTACACTGAGCGTGGCCCGACACGTTCTTGGCCGCTTTTATTATACGTCTTTGCAGTCATAATGGATAATGAAACTGCGCGGAACACAAGTAAAGCCACTGTATGCACGCGTTTGTCCGAAAGTACAGGTAGACCCATATTGCTATCACAATACACATACAATAACACTCATCATTCAATAACAATCATCAATATTATATTTAAAACTCAAGAAATTATACTCAACCGAAAACTCTTAATTTGATGATGATGAGCATTGGGCAGTGCAAACGTATCGGTGCTATGCTCACAAACGCAGTTATTGGTCTTTTGTTATGCTTGCTAGTTGAAATATGAAGTGGTCCTATAAGTTAATAAGTTACACATATACATCCGTAGACCATATTATGCGAAACAGATTCTAAAGATAAAAAAACGTAATTGCCAGGCAGACGTTGATTCGCCCTTTTCGACGAGCCTTTGTCGTGTCCTATTAAAAATCCTTAAATTCGCAAAAAAATTGTGGGTCACTCATGGGCAAAAAAAACTATCCTATCTCTCAAGTTGGGCCAAACTGCACACGGTGTGCAAATTTGATTAAAATCGGTTTAGTAGTTTAGGAGTTCATCGCGGACAAACAACGTCACACGTTATTTGTATATATTAAGATGTTACGATTATGAGTATAGTAAAATTTCAGAAGTATTTCGTTAATTGAATAGGGATTGTTCAAGATTCTTGTGCTTGGCTTAATTATAGTAACAATGTCTTCCAGACCGAATTTAAGTCACGGCCGCCAGTTTCGGTCGGAGTGTTGTCATCTGCACAGTACCCGAGTGTACGTGCATTGTGCAAGCTCAGGTGTACTCTATCCTTTCACTCTCACAGTCCGATGGCACAGTAATGCGACACGACCAGATATCAGGCACAGGACCAACGGCTTTACGTGGGTGAAACACTGCCAACCACTTAACTTAGGGCTGATACTGAGAATTTTTTGGCAGAAACACTCAAATGTTTTTTTTTGACCTGACCTGGGAGATCACGATCAGCAGATGCACTTACGACCACCAGTACACCATCGAGACGGACACATAACCGAGTTACAGTTAGTCACGTGAATAATTATATCAACTAGACTTTTCTTCCGCTAGTAGCATTATTTATTAAAATCGTTTATTTAAGTTAAGTATTAATTTACTGTGCACTTAAGTACTTAAATTGTAGAAAAAAATTGTGAAACAACCTTCATGTCCTTAAAAATCTGCCCATACTCCTCTGTGCAACAAAGCCAAACTTCTGACTCCTGGACGCTAATGAAAATGTCTTGAATATTTTTCCGGAATTTGGACAACTTCTTACAAGGAAAAAAATTCAACTCCGATGCGGCAGTCCAAACCGCCTTCAAAGAGTTTATTGATTCTCGCCCCCATGGTTTTTTTTAGTAAAGGGATCAATGAACTACCTATGAGATGGCAAAAGTGCATAGATAATAACAGTGAACACTTTGATAATTAAATATATTTTCAAAAAAAAAATGACTATATTTCTCCCGTACAAAACGCCAATTTCATATGTAAATTCAAATTGACTTTATATTTCTCCCGTACAAAACGCCAATTTCATATGTAAGGACCTATTATTAAATTTAAAAAAAATCTTGGTATATGCAGTGTGCGCACAGATATTTATAATACGTTTCACAGCGCAACACGAGCAATACATAAAAAATTAGTAGATAAATAGTTTATTACATAAATAGATTATAACTGCGCTATATTCTATGAAGAGCCGTGGTAACTCAGGGTCTATGCTCTCGCTGTACCTAAATTTCACAGTCCGCGAGCAACCCGGGTTCCATCCCCACTGGCACTAATGAAATTGTCAATTACTGTCTAGTTCATCAACACGCATTGGAACAGCGCGGCGGACATTTCCTTGTTATGACCCTCTCAGAAATGAGAGGAGGCCTGTGCCCTCTGAGGGATGTATGTAGGCTGTAACTTTAACTATATCCTATGCCAGACTTAGATCCTATTGTAAGAGCAGCTATACTCGCGGCAGATAATCCTGTCTTAAATCAGAACCTAAATTATACGCACTGTTGATGGGGTGCTGTATTAGCAGTGCGAGGGTATCAAAACTTAACGCACCAACCCGCTTCACCAGCGTGGAATAGATACGGGTAAATCAAATCATCCAATTTCGCCAAATGACGCATTCTGGGAAAGGCTTAAATCTAGTATTGCATTGCTAGTTGAACGTTTGCAACACCGTATGATACCAGATGAGTACCAAGTTAACTGGTATGCACATCATTATCAACAATGCTACACTGTACGATGGCTCTCTCACCTACGGCTCGCGTAATCAAGAAACTGTTCTCCTTGACGCCCTACACTCACTCTATTTTCTATGGCACGTAAGCACGAGATCGTGGGTCGTCAATACAATAATATTACTTACACTGTTCATGTGTTGTACATTCCCACTTACAATCCTCTGACTTCGCGCCTCATCATTGAGATTTATTTTCACAAGGCTCTAAGTTAAAAAATTTATAATAAGGGAAGTATGGTGTGGAGGAACATGTTGTCACTAGGATTAAGAAAGGAATGCTTCGGTGGTTTGGACACGTAGAAAGAATGAATGTGGAGTAAGAAAGCAAATTGATGTTGCTTAAATGAGTGAAAGAGTCGGTAAGGTACATCCTAGACGGAAGGTATCGACCCGCCCCGGCTTTGTCTGGATAGGATCTTATTAATGTAGCATTAGTTACATTTAAAATAATAAAAGACCATTCATTTTATCAATTTTTCTTTCAAACAAATATCTAGACTGTCGTACAAAAATTACAAAAATGGTTGTTTATGTCTTTGCATTCAAATAACCTTCCAGAAATTAATAAAAAAGATACAGGATGTCCTTAACTGACGGGCATGTGGTTAAAAACTCTGCTATGTTCTTTTTAAAATGGGTTCCTCATAAGGGTGGTGGATTGCTTCTTTTTAAGGAGTATTTTGTCGTGTAGTTGTTACAGTTTATTTATTTTAAACATTTCACACTCTTCAGCTCATAACATCTACGTTATAGAAGAATGTACCTTATCAGTTAATTCGTTCATTCATTACATGTATTGTTTGATCAGCCTATCATGATTTGTATGCTCCACAGACCAAACATGTATGTTCGAATCGCCACGCCGCTAATTGTTATTGTTACGTGTGTTTGCTTCATACGCCACTCATACTTACGCACTATCGTCATAAATCTTAAACTAATTTAACTATCAAAGAAGCTGTGCGAGTCGCAAACTGTGGCCTGTACGTTATTTTTGGACCTTCAAGCCGGATTTTGATTCTTCGCAAACCGTGACCCGTATATAAGTCTTATACTTATGTATGGACCACAATTTACCGAACATTCTCCGTAGATTGGCTCGCCCAGAGATATGTTGAACATTATATTCTATGTAATCTTAATTGGTATTGGAGGAATCCTTTATAATAAACAAAACAAAAACAATAAATTGTTTTCTTTTATTTACTAAACACCTTTGTACAGTTGTTATAAACACTTAACTGTCAGTTACACTATGAAATTAAATGAAGTTGGAATATAATATGGCGGAAAAAAATCTTACAATTACGATCTTAAAAAAAAGCTCTTTATTCCTTAATATAACAAAAATACTTAACTGAAGCAAATTATACAACATAAATGAACAATTTAAGGATAATATACGATAAGACTAAAATACTAGTCAACAATGAAAAATAGTGTCATGACCGTTACAAGATGTTTAGTTATAAAATAAATGTTCATAATAATCCATACATCAAGGTACGGTGGTCTATATAATATGCAGTTTTTACGTGAAGGAACGAATTTCAACATTAAATAAGTACTGACAAAAAGTGTTTAGTTACTATTGTACAGTCTTTTTAATTTTAAAATAATTATGAAACTAACTTTAAAATAATTTTTGGGTCATTTGCTTTCACGGGGAAAGATAACAAAGATATGTTTTTGTACTGTTTTTAGTCTTAATAATAATGAGTATAGAAATATAAAAGATCTCAAAAACTTTGGGTATGATATAATTAGATTTTAGTCACTTTCTTTTCTTTTTTTAACAATCAACAAACTTACAAGCTAACCTTATAAAACTGTTATCAACCTAATAGTAACACAGAAATCACATTACAACTAGAAACTGGAGTTCAAATAAAAGCATTCTATAAACGTTATTATCTTTAAAAACCTTCAAATTTAACAAAAAAGGTCTGAAAGTATGAATTTTTTTTTAATCATAAACTCATTCTCTCAATCAGTATTTTTATGTCATGAAAAGGTTTGCTTCACTGCTCATAATTTTTTTATAATCATTTTAATACTGTTTTAAACAAGAAATAAACAATGTATGAACAAAAAGAAAATCTTTTAGACTTATCAAAATCGGTATTAGTTTAAATTTACGACTGAACTGAGCGTAGATCATCTTCTTTTTCTTTGTGAGCGTTGGAGTAGAGGTGTATTCGCATGGCGTGAGTGGGCATTGGCGCTGTGTTGCACAATTTGCACGTCAACTCCTTGCTGACCGAAATGGACGTCCTATAGAAAATAATTCATATATTATTATATGTAAGTATTCTATAACATCACAAATGTAAGCACAGTTCTATTTAACATTTTAATATTGCAATTTTAATTTTAACTGCCCAACAGTGGACGACTAAGAGACATTGATGTGACTAGTCTTTTTTTGACCCCTGTCAACCCAACCCGGGCGATGTATAAGTGTGCGTATGCGTTTTTTTTTGGTGTATGTGGTAAGTAGATGCTGTGGACCATAGACAATTATCCCCGAATAAGAATCAAAATTGCAAATGCGTTGTCCAACTTAGTCCTTAGAGGCGACAGTCCCTGAGAACCAATATGGAACGACTCCTTTCCAGTGAACAGGGTCTCCGATCCTCTAAACTTACCACACGAAACACAGCAGCATTAAGCTGCTATTTTTGCTGGTACTGTGTGACTCCTTCTCCGGGCAAGAAGACCCGTGTCGTATTACAATCATAATATAGTTGCTGCATGACTCTACCCAGTACAAACGTGTGAGTGTGTGTATACACGTACACACGCGTGCGTGGCGCGCGACGTACCTGGCCACCTTGAGGCACAGCTGGTCGTTGACGCGCTTGAACTCGAGCAAGCGCTCGGGCGTGTGTGTGTGTGTGTGTGTGTGTGTGTGTGTGTGTGTGTCTGTGTGTGCATGTATGTGCGCGCGTGTATGTGCATGTGTGCGCGTCTGTGTACATATGTGTGTACCAGTGTGGACGCGTGCGTGGCCCGCGACGTACCTGGCCACCTCGAGGCGCAGCTGATCGTTGTCGCGTTTGAGCTCGAGCAGGCGCTCGCACGCGATCTGTGCGTGTCGCGAGTTGTGCGTGTGTGTGCATGTGTGTTTACACGTGTGGACGCGTGCGTGGCGCTCGACGTACCTGGCCACCTCGAGGCGCAGCTGCTCGTTGTCACGTTTGAGCTCGAGTAGGCGCTCACACGCGATCTGTGCGTGTCGCGAGTTGTGCGGGGTGTGTGTGTACGTGTGTGCACGCGTGCGTGGTGCGCGACGTACCTGGCCACCTCGAGGCGCAGCTGGTCGTTGTCGCGCTTGAGCTCGAGCAGGCGCTCGCACGCGATCTGTGCGTGTCGCGAGTTGTGCGTGTGTGTGCATGTGTGAGTGCATGTGTGTGCTGTGTGACATGTGTGGACGCGTGCGTGGCCCGCGACGTACCTGGCCACCTCGAGACGCAGCTGGTCGTTGTCGCGCTTGAGCTCGAGCAGGCGCTCGCGCGCGACGGGGTGCAGCTCGAGCGGCGCGTGCAGCGGGTACACGACGGCGCGCTGCACCATGCCCGGCGCGTTTATCTCCAGCAGCTCGCTCTCGTCCACCGACCGCCACTCCCACGCGTTCGCCACGCACGCCGACTCGCGGTGCTTGCGCCGCTTCGTCAGCAACCTGCCACGTAATGCAACCAACAAAAATTTTATTCGAAGCCACATAAAAATCAGATATAATCTATGATCAGAATACATGATTGGGGACCTGTATATACTCACGATGTTGGGCCGGCGATTAAGATAATACAAGAAACTCAGTAAATAGTCTTAATTTTCTGAACACGTAAGAAATCTGATCATCACACAAATGCATGGACCGTTCTCTTAAAGTTTTACCTGATCCTCACGCTTGACAGGCGGATTGACCATCGCAGCACCAGAGGTCCCGCACCTTCGATGCTGTTGCCTTCTATTGTCATTGTTAATCTAACAAATTAACATTTTCACACTTTACGTTAAACAACTGTATATTAATCACTCGCCAGAGCCAGAAAAATTTCAACCATACACCACACCACACTGTAAAGATATTGGTTTAATGAACTGACCTCTATACGTGGGCGGTCCCATAATGAATTGGCCTAACTATGAACCAATGAAGGAAATGAAACGAAACCAATTTTATTTTTCAATATAATCACCATGAATACTAACACACTTCTGACATCTGTGAATCAACATCTTTAAACCTTTATAAAAATAATCACATTTTTTATCCTCAAAATGACTGAAGACGGCCGCCTGCAACTCTTCATCGCTTGAAAATTTTCTTCCTCTAAGTCCCGCTTTAAATTTGGAAATAAATAATAGTCGGACGGGGCCATGTCTGGACTGTAAAGTGGATGTTGAACTTCTGTGAACCCGCATTGACGAACTGCATCCTTCGAAACACCAGCGGTATGAACAAGGGGCGTTGTCATGGAGCAACAGGACACCTTTAGACAGCTTGCCTCTTCGTTTTTCCTTTATCTTGTCTCGTAATTTATATATTAAAGAAGCATAATATTCGCCGTTCACGACTGTATTACCTTTAAAATCCACCATCAACATGCCTTGAAAATCCCAAAATATTGTGCACATCAGTTTTTTAGTCGATTGTTGCACCTTTGCCTTTCTAGGGGGCTTTTCACCCTTATAACGCCATTCCATTAACTCGCGCTTGCTTTGTGGATCATAATACAAGATCATAGTTTCATCTCCAGTCACTAGCCGCTCGATCACAGTCTTTGGATTTTCGCCACAAAGATACAAAAACTCCGAAGCGCAGCGCACTCTTTCCTGTCTCTGTACCGCTGAAAGAAGTCTCGGTACCCATCTTGCACTCACTTTTTTCATGTGAAGATGTTCATGGATCGCGCGATGAACGGTACTCTTAGAGAGCCCAAGCCTTGCTGCAATTTCTCTAATCTTCAAACGGCGGTCACTTAGAACCTCCTCTTCGATAAGAGCAATCGTTTCGGGAGTGAGCACTTCCACAGGTCGACCGTCGTGGCCAAAGTCTTCGACGGTTTCTCTCCCGAGGCGAAACTCTTTCACCCAATTTTTCACTGTGCTATAGGAGGGGGCAGACTCCTTATACACGCCATCCAATCGTTCTTTTATCTGGGCAGGGGATAAACCTTCTTTAAACAGAAACTTTATGACACTTCGATACTCAGTTTTCGACATTTTGAAAAAATACGCGACTCTCGTTAAAATGCCTAAGTTAAACTAAGACTAAGCATTTCATGTCGATGCATGTTCCTTATATTAAGTGCACGATAAACGTACTATTTAATGCAACACAACATGTAGCGACATGTCGCGTTGAACTATATCAGGCCAGTTCATTATGGGACCGCCTGGTATATACAAGTACACTGGTCTGGCTATACCATACAAAATGTTTGTGCCGATTTTGATTTTAATATGCCAGTCTGTTGTTTTACTTAACCCATATCTCTGTAATTTGAACTTTAAACTAAAAAAATGAAAGTATTTTCTGTGGTTGGATTGCGTTTCATTTCAGTTACATGATAAGAACTATTTTTGTAATGAATGTACGTCACTGACCTCTATATATACAAGTACGCTGGACTGGCTATACCATAGAAAATGACTGTGCCAATTTGAAGCGCCGCTAAAGGATATCTTGAAAAATAAAATTGACATAATATGCCAAAGTCCGTTGTCATATTTAAATTGTCTTATTTAATAAATCTGTATTTTGAACTTTTAATCTAAAAAATTAAAGTATTTTATGTTGTTCGATTGTGTATAATATTAGTTACATAATAAGAATTATTTTTATTAATAATGAGAGTGTGCGTAATCTGTAAAACTCGTTTCCAAAAGGGAAGTGGTATAACATTTCACAAGTAAGTGAATTTGCAGCAAATATAAACCAAATTAAAACTATTTGATAATATATGTACTTAAAAATGTGTCGACTTAATATCATATATACCAACATCTTCTGCTGTATATTACTGAGTTTTGATAAACAATCAAATTCAATAGGGTTGTCGAGTTCCTTGTCTATAATACTTATCGATGTTCTTTCTTAACCATATCTGTTAACAAACAAAGTCGCCAACAACAGACAATTATCAAATATTTATTAATTAACAGGTTCCCAAAACATAAACGCATGAATTGTGAATTACTCCGAAACAAAAAGATCATATTTGTTCCAAACATTTCACAGACGCCTGTTTTATTAGACATGAGAACTGCACCACTTTGAAAAGGTGCAATATACCGACAATATTTTCTGCTAGTACCAGTACCAGTAAGTATAAAAGTATTAGATTATTATTTCGAATGTATTTTTTTTTATTTCTTCTTTCCTCATTTTTCACCAAACTCAAGGGCCATAGCCAAGTGTCGAAAAGTCGCCGGATGATGTCGAGCCACGTTGTATGTGTTTTAGTGGGCTGCAGCTAGAGAAGATTCCTCTCCCTGTGCCGCTGTAGTCGAGGAGGAGTCGTAAGGGAAGAAGAGTGTTGGTATGGCGATTGGCAACGCGCCACTCGACTATCTTTCGCGACTTTAGTGAGGATACACCACTTGATGCTTCCAAGTGATAGTTTTCCCTGGCTCTATTCACATATCGGGCTTGGGGAGGCCATAGGAGTGGAGTCGGTGGAGTTAGAGAACGCGAAGGGCAGTGTGGCTTATTTCTGGTGCGCCTTATCTGAGAATGAAAACGGGAGAGAAGTCAGCAACTAAGGAGGGGCTGCCATTGGGCGGCATTATTTACACTTACGGAAAATTATGTGGACCTCAAATCTTGGGTTGCGCTTTACAACAGTTGTGTTCTGGTTTAAGTTGGTTTACTTGTTTAAATGAATAAACTCTACCACCAACTACCAACTCTGGAGTAACATTAGCCAGTATTGCCGTTACAAAACGCAAAATCTCTACGTTTGTGTTACAAAACGCAAAATTAAGTTATCTTGGTGTAAGACCAAAGAGTAAAATTATTCGAAGGTTAGTTACTCTGGTTTAACATAGTATTTGGTCGAATCCATCCTTAATACATGGTTAAATAACCGTGTAATAATGTTATGGTATTCTTTAATATAATGTTGTCCTTAGTTCTTGGACAATTTCATCCGAAGAGCTCGTATCTCTATAAATGTTTCCTCAGTTTAAAATCTTTGTAGAATATTTAGAGACGATACCAGGAGACCCGACGGTATGGGTTTTGTTGCTTGAGAGAGAGAGAGAGAGAGAGAGAGAGAGAGAGAGGATAAAGTAGGGATACTACTTGCGAACACTTTGACAGCATCCCATCTCAGGGGTACCTCGTTTAAAGCAGAGGTGGCATTAGAGGCAACTGAACTAAGTAAATAGCCCAGAATATCTAGAAGATGAGTACATATTTGTGCAATTTGCTGTAGAGACTATTGCTCCGTAGGGTGCACGTGCGGTGTAGTTCTTAAAAAACTGTATATGCGACTGATTTTCGCTGCTTGTAATAAGAAGTTGTTTAGTTTGTTGTTTCCTCGCTTGAAGGCTAAAATATAGCCATTCAGTGAAGACACGTAGCCAGCATTCTTGGGACGATACCACAGAAAGTAGGACTGTATGATAATTTCTGTTATTTTTTTTAATATTGTTATTTTAATTTCGAAAATGTCGTTGTAAATAACTGATAACAATGTAATTCAAAGTTTATATTTTTTATAGGTATTATTTTGCTAGCTCGTACCCAGCGCAATGCTGCCGCAGAAGAAGTAATTGTCGACATATCGTTAAAAATGTGGAACAGTTATATTGTATAATTAGGAATGATAATACAATCATTGAAATAGAATGATTTTCTTTAACTTTCAAATGAATAGTTAGTATAATACGCACGCCACCTAATGTCAGTTAATTGTACCATGCGTATAACCTTCGCACAAGTGTAAACAATAAGTTGACTAAGTTTTACCGCAATCTGATGAACTGTATAGAATCGTAGAATGTACGAACAAACACAAAATTTTAAATAGTAGAAAATATTTTACTGTCTATAGACAGACCTGTAGTTGATTAGAATAGGCGTTATTATAGCAGCTGATTTGTTTCTTATAACAATAGAACTAAATGAACGGTTGACAATAAATTATTTTAGAAATTATGTTTTTATTTTTATTTTGTGTAGTTAGTTTAATCTTAATAATTTTTTAGTTGAATGGTCTAAGGGCTACGATGGCTATACGAGTAGAGAGCCAGAGTACAAAACTAATCCAACTGTAGAGATGTGTAAGACAGGGTTACGTAACATCCCTGAAATACTTTACCGCTGCATTGGAAGACGTTTTCAAGCTACTGACTGGAAAGGATACGGTATGAACGTCAATGGCGTGTACATCACTCACCTTTGATTTGCCGACAATATAGTCCCTATGGCAGAATCGCTGGAGGACCTACGCACTATGTTCAGTGACCTCAATAATGTCTCCCAACAGATAGATCTTAAGATGAACATGGACAAAACAAAAGTGATGTGTAATGTCCATGTCACACCTATGCCGGTGGTTTTTGGGAACACTTAGCTGAAGTTGTTGACGAGTATTTTTACTTGGGACAAATAGTCCAACTAGGTAAGTTCAACTTCGACCGACAGGTCAATCCACGGATTCAACTCGGCTGGGCAGCGTTCGGGAGATTACAACACATCTTCTCGTCAGTCTGTGTCAGTGATAACCTATGGATCTGAGACGAGGTCTTTCACTGCTGGCCGTATAGGGAAGCTCGAAGTCGCTTAGCGAGCTATGAAAAGGGCTATGCTCAGGGGTTCAAACTTAGGAATGAGGATATCTGCAGCAGAACCAGAGTGACCGACATCGCCCAATGGATTAGTAAGCTGAATTGGCAATTGACCGGCCATATAGCTCGAAGAACCGAATACCGATGGGGAAAAAAGGTTCTCGAGTGACAGCCTCGTATCGGCAGGTAAAGTGTAGGACGTTCCCCCACTAGATGTAGTCAAAACCTGGTAAGCCATACAGGACGTTGATGGATGCAAGTGGCTCAGGACTGTGCTTTGTGGCATTTCTTGGGGAGGCCTATTTTCAGCAGTGGACTTGTGAAGGGCTTAAATGATTGATGAATTATAATGGCATTACATTAGTATGATACATAAAGAGAATGGAAGTTACGGGTAGAGTCCATCTATACATAGAGTCTATTCTATTTAGGTATAGGTAGGGTATAGAATTTTATCGATATTATTTGATACATTGTCTCATCCCTATTATTAGTTCCGTGGACGTGCACTTCTGCTGTCAGCGCCAAATGGCGGAAATCAAATCGCTTCATCATGTCACGGTGTATAGCCAGTCCAGCGTACTTGTATATATATAGAGGTCAGTGATGTACGTTATATATAAAACCAGTTACCAAAAGTAAAGTGGTATAACATTCCACAAGTAAGTGAATTTACAGCTAATATTAAACAAATTAAAACTATTTGTTAATATAGGTACCTATGTAAAAATTTGTTACTCATCTTAATATTGTAACTACCAACATGTTTGGCTTGACTTTATATTACATACTGAGTTTTAATATACTTATTGTATTATATTAATTTAATAGGGTTGTCGAGTTCCTTGTCTATAAAACCTTTTTTCCTACCCATATCTGACACCAAAATCACCAACAACAGATAGATAATTATTATTATTATTACTAGCGATATTTTAGCAGTCAATTTGTTTTTATAATACTTGAACTGAATGAACGGTTGACAAAAAAATATTTTTCAAATTATGTACTTATTTTTATTTGGTATAAGTAGTTACTTTCTCCAGTTGAATATTTTTCAGTACTAAATAAATATTTGAGCCTCGCGAATGTACCAACATATCCAATGTAGAAACCCGAAACTAAATCTCTTCCGTTATTACGAATAAAAACGTAGACAGACCAACGCATCGTCGATCTTGGTTTTATATGAGGTATAAAGCTTGCTTCTAAGGGCTGGGTATTATTTTTTTAATTTATTGAGAAACCAAGAGCGTTTTATATAGTTTATTCCTACAATAAGGTCCATAACAGATTTCCTTTAACTACTATGGCATAGCATACTACGGTCGTAATAATTAGCATCAGTAGGGATACCCTCAATTTTACACTCGTATCATTAAATTGTTGCACCTGTTCCCTCTGGCAGTACGCACATTCGAAGTCTCATACACAAATTTATAAACATATGTACATGCACACTAATGAAATCAATAACAGCACACACTGTTCAACAGTAACAAACAAATACTCACGAATATACACATGTTACTTTAAGTTTAAGTTAATTTTAAGGTAATTTTAAGTTATGTTATTTTATTTGGGTTTTAGGCTTAAGACTTTCAATAGCTAAGCGCCTAAAAGCATTCTTATTGTATTTAAAGATATCAATTTCTCCAAAGAATTCATTGTAAACGGTGGGTAGACGCGAGAGGGGTGCATTACGCACGTAATTAGTACCAGCGAGCGGCACACTTAATAGGGGCGGTGAGCGGCGCATGACGCGGCGGGCGTGTCTTAAAGGCACGATAAGGACCACGTTCGTAACTAACTCGGGGCAATCAAAGCGTCCGTGCACTACGTCGTACAGTAGACATACATCCACTAGTTTACGTCTATCTTCAAGGGTAAGTAGGTTAAATCGGTCACAGTTCTCCTGATAGGTTGGTAAGGCTGGTATATGTACGTGATAATTAAGATGCTTCATAAATGTTTTCTGTACGCGTTCCAGACGATTTATGCAAATGGCGTGTTGGGGGGACCAGACCGCAAGCATATTCAACGACACTGCGGAAATAAGCATTATATAAAGCATTCAAGGTACTTACGATTTTTAACGGAGCGGAATAACGAATTAAGATAGTTATTTATAATATAAGGTTCGACGTGTGTTTGTGATAGAATATTAAAGTGTTTACTTGTAGGGTGTTAATGTACTACTACTAAGCGGTTTAGTACGCCGCAAATTGGCGGCGGTATTGTAAAATAAAGTTGTTGTTGGTGCAGAACGCAGATCACCCAATGCCGATACATGGCATTAGTTGTGATTGCGTAGTACTTTGCTTATTAGAAACAATGTTGAGAGAGGTTAGTTGATGTGCCTATATGTGCCTATATATTACAGGTCCTCATAATTACAAAAAGATAATGTGCATAAAAAAAACTTTGACTTAGTTTGTTACAGTGAAAAAATAAGTTTAAATGTTGTGTGTTACGGTACCTGCCATTTAATCGACACACTAATTTAAAGTCGTAGTGCGCTATGCGAAACGGAGAAGGTGCAAATGCAAAAGTACAAAATACAACAACAATTAATTCGAACACAGAGTAGACTAACTTCAGAGAAAATATGGACAAAAACTTTTCTTTAATTAACATGGTATTGCGGAATGCAATTAAATTATGTATTCTAATATTATTACAGTTGTGATAAAGATTAGTAATCATAAACAAACTATAGACACCAAAACTAATTAGGAAAAATAGTAATAGTCAGGATAATACAGAAACAGAACAGTAGTAGTCAGGAGCCTTGATTTCATTTTAGCAAGCAATAACCACACTGGATCAACCCGCCAATTTTACTTTCGTTAATACTCAGTTAATCTGCAAAATGTCATTTATATTGAATTAGACTCCGATGTGTTTCTATGTTTTCAAGACAGTATCATTCATGTCCTCGTTGACTGATTCTGGTATGCCGATAATTTCCACATTTAGCAGTCGGTCACGTTGCTCCTTAATGTTCATTTGTAAAGTACAAAATACAACAACAATTAATTCGAACACAGAGTAGACTAACTTCAGAGAAAATATGGACAAAAACTTTTCTTTAATTAACATGGTATTGCGGAATGCAATTAAATTATGTATTCTAATATTATTACAGTTGTGATAAAGATTAGTAATCATAAACAAACTATAGACACCAAAACTAATTAGGAACAATAGTAATAGTCAGGATAATACAGAAACAGAACAGTAGTAGTCAGGAGCCTTGATTTCATTTTAGCAAGCAATAACCACACTGGATCAACCCGCCAATTTTACTTTCGTTAATACTCAGTTAATCTGCAAAGTGTCATTTATATTGAATTAGACTCCGATGTGTTTCCATGTTTTCAAGACAGTATCATTCATGTCCTCGTTGACTGATTCTGGTATGCCGATAATTTCCACATTTAGCAGTCGGTCACGTTGCTCCTTAATGTTCATTTGTCGAGTTAATTATTGATTTTGTAGTTTTAGATTATTAATTTCCGATTTGAAGTAGTCGGTTTTCTTTGTGAGCTCAAATATTACTGCAATCTTTTTGGTGGTTTCGTCATGCTAGTCAGAATTAAACTGCACTAATTTTTGAAGTATGATTATTGCTTTTTGCATTTCGAATTGTTGTGCACTCAGTACAGTACACATACATGATTTTACTTCCGAGCATTTTTTATCTCTGTCTTCAGTTCCAGAGACTCTTCTCTTAATTTTGTAAGATCTTTCTTAATAATATCATTTAATGTGTCATTTATTTGTGAAAGATTTTTATCGAACTCTGTTTTCTAGTAGTACCAGTTACTCGACTCCATCGAGTCAGTAATCAATTCTTGGATCGATGTTTACGCTTTTACAAAAAAAATCTCAGAAAATATACAAAATTTGACCTTTTTTTTTAAAGAATAAAGGTGTCAAACGAACACACAGTCGACCTTATGATAAGTGGTTGCTGTGGCCCATAGACATCTACATCTATCCTCAATTAAGAATCAAAATACACATACGTTGTCACCCCTGAGAACTAAGATGGAATGCCTCGTTTCCAGTAAAAAGGAGTCTCCGAATCTCTACACTCACCATACGAAACACAGCAGCATTACGCTGCTATTTTACGCCGGTATTCTGTGTAGCGTGTTCCTTCCCCGGTCGAGCCGACCCATGCGTGCTACAACCATAATATAGCTGCAACGTGGCTCTACCACGTATACAACTGACATGCTCAAAGTTCAAAAACTTTATTAAACTGTTGGTGTAAAAAAAGGTTATTATAACATAAAGGAATTCATGGATGATAATAACTCCTGGGAATAAGGTGATCGCTACTGAGCTATTTCTAATTTGTTTTGTGTTGATTAATTATGTAAACATACCACGATTGTAAACTGTTATTTTTTCTGGGTTTTTTTGCTGTTTCTCCCAGGATAGAGGATTTGTTCCGAATCAGTGATAATTGAACAAAAGAGTGACATTCAATAAGTATTATTTATAACCTATATTGAATATTTGTTCTCGAGATACACGAGGCGAAAATGAAATCCGAATATACATACATACATACATACATACATGCGCACACACGGATGTCCTCTTAAAAACCATACTATTCGATTTTAAAAACCTTGAAACGTGGAGATATTATGTTAAAATTCCAATTTGCAAAATCGGACCCATTACAATAACTTCCCACTGGGAAGTTAAAAATAACAACATAGAAACAATTATTTCTTGTTGTTGATAGCGGAAACCTAAAAAATATTGAAAAGGAATATTGTCACTACTCACTTCAAGAGATCTTCACGTATAAACTTAGGTACTTTAGGGTGAAACTCGTCATCAGCCGTTGGTGTGTCTTGTCCTTCGCTACAGTACATCATGTAGTCCATCAAGTGCCTGATATGGTTAATCTACGAATATGAAATTACAAAATTAAATGCAATTAAAACAAACAGCTTTATCTACACTTAAGTACTTCGAAAATAATAATAATAATAAATGCTTCAGGCATTCAGTACATTGACAGACTATCCACTTGTTGGTTATGTAAATTATTTTTAAGTTTCTACCTCGAATACCAATGAAATTGTTAATTGCAATTTTAAGTGCTGATTTGAAACATTGCCTAGTAAAAATGCTGAAACTGGAAGTCAAGACCATTTCTGATTGAAGGTAACAAGCAAATAAATCCTACAAAAAGCTCAAACATGAATTTTGGCAAAAAATCGATTTAAGGTTGATTTCAAATTTAATTTTTTCCCGACATTTAATAAGTTTATTATATTATTACATATATTATGTTATTATATTAATAAGGTTAATATTAATTAGTTCTATTTATCGTGTAATATTTGCCTTTCGGCAGATCATTTTAATACAAAAAAAAAACTTACCAAACCTATATCATCGACATTCAAATCGGCGTCTATGTTAACCAGTATGTCGTGCTCGGGGAAGTATGGTGAACCGTCTTCAGTGCTGCCGAGCCCGCATAAAGTGCTCACGTACCGAGTAGCTCCAGAGTCGCGACGTAGCTCCGCACTGCGCTCACACAAAATATGGCAATTTTTATCGTCATTTTAAGTCGCTAGAATCCATTTTGACATCTTTTTCTTATTTTGTTATGACGGTTTAGACGCATTAGCCAATGTCAGCGTGTGTGTTTATAAGTAGGACAGCTTAGGAAACACAAATACAAATGTACATAAGAAAATTGTGATGACACAAATATCTTATATTCCTAGCAACTCCCCAAATTTATTATAAGTAGGCTATTTTTCGTCTAGGAGTCGGTTTAGCTCGGTCGGTTTAGCTTCCACCTCTTACGAACTTAATATTGTTCGCGCACTTTATCTTGGCCGGGCTGAAGTTGACTTTTGCGCATGTAAAGACGCTAGTCGATAGAGATGTGCCACTTCATATTCGCTTCTAACATCGGAAGCATTTGTTTCTTTATATCGGTTATATCAATTATTTAAAATGGTTATTATAATAAAAATATCTTTATGTATTTCAATAAAATAATAGTATATCTAAATCTAATAAAGAATTAAGATAAACATTTCGAATATATAACAAATACACGATATTAGCAGGAACAAAAAAATTTTTCATCCCAAAATAATAGAATTACAATAATGTTAAATAGTCGTATATATACGAATGTATTATAGTTAACCAAATCTAAGAAATACCTTTTGACGTTTCACGTTAATCATTCCGCAATAACTTTGCACAAGCGTACTCACACGATTTATAATAAATCTTCTACGTAAATCCGAAGAAATTTGAAGTTATCTATATTTCATTACAACGTGTATAGTTTTTTTTATCACTAATTTAAATTCGAATCTCTATAATAAAACTTTAAAAAAAAAAGTATTAACTATTTTACTTGACGTCGTTTCAATGATATGTCGCTATGTATCTTACCGTAGTGTTTGGATGATTAAATTCATTGTAATGCGAATAATCGGCAAAAATATTAAAATAATCAGTAAAAATATTCAAATAATCGAATCGTTAATTTTTTATATATGTCGCAGCACCTTTGTGGGTACCTGCGCATTGCACCTGTAGTGGCGCTCGTGTAGCTACTTGTCTTGATTGTATAAAAAGGACGGAGCGGCCGCTTTTAAAGCAGTCTTGGCGCTGGCGTGACACGGTTCACTTGTTGTATTCCGCTACTAGCTCATCCTAGACTATTCGGGTAATTAATTCGTGGAAACGAATTAATTATTATTATCAGCTATTGAATGAGTCGCGGTACAATTTATAGTCGACTACCTGTGATCCGTAGACAGAGAAACCTATAGACTAATGATCGGCGTGGCCTCGAGGGAGAAAGAACGATAACGAATTTTTAGGTTATACAATAATCTTTATGACTTTTAAACACATTTAGATAAAAATTTTAATTGTTCAAGAACTGAACTGAACAAGATTCACCAATCTTAAGCTCACAAAACACTTTTTTCTCCAATAAACCAACTTGTAAACTCCTTAAATCGCTACGCTGTCAAAGTTGTTTAGCAAACTGTAGAGTTTGCTAAACAACTTTAACAGCGTAGCGAAAGGGACAAACAATCACACCGCTCTATCTAATTTCCATGCAAGACGTATTCATAAATCTATCTTTTTCGTGTGCGAATGCGAAAGAAGCCGTCAATTTGTCTATAGGTTTCTGTCTACGCTGTGATCCATGTATTTTGTGATTGTAAATTAATTCTATTTAACTACCTTCCTACATATATTATTTGTTTAATTAAATTTTTATCTTCAAATTCTTTATAAATCATGAATAAAACAAGTTAAATTTTTTTACTTTGTCAACATACTTTTGTGTAGGCAAGAAAGTTCATTTACATCGCACCGAAAAAACTACTACGTAATTTCAATCTCCCGCCATTTCGGGAGCTTTGGGAGTTTTTCTTTTTAATATGTGACTCGGCTTTAACTTTTTGGACCGTTTTTTTTTCCATATTTGTTGAAGCATATGCCCATGTCACAAAGGATGATTGGGCAAAAGTGGTAGAAAAAAACAAAAAAATTGATTATGGATAACTTTGAAAGAGTTATTAATTTTGAGTGTATTAATGAATATCAAATAATTAATCTAAACAACGACAGCGCAACTAGTTGTACTGAAAGTGATTGCATAAATTTATTTTTAATCTAGTTTCAATCCTAATTTTTTTTTACTTTGTCTCTAGAAATAAGCAGTAACAATATATACGAAGAAACTGAAAAATTTGGTGTTTTAAATTATCCGTTTTTAATTTATTCCGGTATTCTTCAAACCAACTGAACTGATGTTGATTGATTTTTTGGCCTACAAATATACATTTTGTAATTAAAATAACAGCGCCAAGTATCGGATCCTAGCATAGCTAACCATTGTCTCGACAAAACAAATATATTATATAAATAGGACCTCAAACAGCCAAGAAATTTAGAAGTTACACGTGATATGCTAGTTACGTATGTACAAAAATTATATAGTACATAACACACCGACACCAACACCAACGATTATCTAATACAACGTAAAATGTTTAACTCACGAAGGACAGAACAACAGAGCTATAATCGCCGGCAGTCCTGGTATGTTCGGCATCAATGTGGTGTGCCGCAGAGTTAACGTGCTCGCGTTCTCGCTCTGACCCACCTCGGCTGCTACTAACAATCTGCAAAGTACAGAAACCAAAAATAAATTAAATTGTGACGTTGAATAAACTGTGTACTTAAAAAGTTGACAAATTTTTAATAATATTTAAAACATTTTTTTTGCTAGCCTTTATGATCTCAGCCGGGCAAAAGCCTACGCTGTAACCATCTACGCTTTACGATTATCAGTTAACATTTTCAAATTCGTGAAGATCAATACACAATCTCTTTCGGGTCTACAGTGATTTATTTATTTATTTATTAGGATTACCAACAGAAATTACAACAGTAATACAAAGATCATTTTCATAACATATTAAGCACATTATAATTGTATTTCTTTTTATAGGTAATCACAACATGCATTGATTATTTAGTAAATGAAAGGATTATAAGAAAAAAAAACTTGAACTACATCATTGAATAAATAAATTATTAAAAAGAAATAGAATTATTTAACAATATTATAGGATAACTTCATCATCATATTAAATTACATTAACCACACTATAGAAAACAAAAAACAATTCCAATATTATACTTCTTAATTAATTGATTCATTATTTTTAAAGAAATTGATTAATTTTGATTTGAAGGTAGATAAACTATCGCAAGTAATATCGAGGACAGTTTGTTATAAGTGCGAGCCAGTCTGGCTAGAAGGGAATACTTTCCTAAGTTAGATCTATAAAGAGATACATTGAAAAATGCTTGCAGTTTCCTAGGCAGTCTTGATGGCACTTTAAAGTGATGTTGTCATCTGTCTCGAAATACCTAAAGCGTGTCAATTTATGTCCATCGGAGTTGTTAGTTCGAGAAGATTCAAAGGTACTAACTATTTTTATTCCTCACTGTTGAAAGTTATGTTAAACTTTTACTAAAAACTACGTTCAAAAAATAATAAACAAATAATTTTAGCTATGGCTAAATAGAAAGAAAAGTGAACATATAATGTCTATGAAAATTACCTGTATAATAAAATATTTTATTAATTACCGTTCATACAGCTCCTGTGGTTCGGTATCAAGCAGTACTGAGTTGACGGAATTCCATTCAATGTGAACTTGCTTCTCGCGGCTCGCGTACATAAGATTGTGTACATTTGTTTCTAATGGACTGTGAATAAAGAAATTGTTATTTACCTAGCCAAATATAAATATAATATATATACCTAGCTACATATGTAGTTATCAACGAAGGTAAGATGAAGAGGTAACACTTGATCTCTCTGAAGACCTGGTAGAACCATGCTGCAGCTATATTGTGGTTGCAGCACGAATGGGTCGGCTCGACCGGGGTACGACCACGCTCTCACAGAATACCAGCCTAAAGTAGCAGCTTAATGCTGCTGTGTTTCGTATGGTGAGTATAGAGAACCGGAGACCCTTTTAACTGGAAACGAGGCATTCCATCTCAGTCCTCGGGGCTGGCAATGCATCCGCATTTTGATTCTTAATTGAGGATGTACGTGCGTGTACGTGTGTGTGTGCGTGTACGTGTGTGTATGTGTAATAAAATAACTACTATATAGATGTCTATGGGCCACAGCATCCAGTTTTAATCAGGTAGACTGTGTGCTCGTTTGTCACCCTTATTCTTAAAAAAAAACTTTCTTAAAAAGCAAGCTCATAACTAAATAAGCCCCTACCAGGTTCTGTAACAAGATATCCAGATAGCAGAAAATAATGATCTGCAAATACAAAGCAAACTTTCCTTTGGTTAAAAAGATAATGAAAGTAAAAATTGCCATCCATTTTTTTTCTCAGCACAAAATAGCATATAATAGTTATTTTTTGTATATTACACATCAATCACAATTGTAAATAAGTGTGCCCTTGTAGTTTCCTTACCTGAAAGGTCCCTTTAGGCATACATCCGAGTCACATTCTTTATAGTTAGGTGGTTCTATTTCTCGCATTTGATAGAATGCCGCTTCAGCTTGTTCTCTGTTATATGCTCGTTTTTGAGCCATATTCAACTCCGTTGCGTTCTGCCTAAGGTCGTGATTTAACTGTCAACAAAAATAATTAGAAGAATAATTCAAATGAAACACGAAAGCGATACCCCCTTTCGTATTCGTAGATTAATTTGAGAAAATAATGGCAAAATACTCAATCACTACTAAAGAACGTAGTCGATTTGCGGGGGAATTAAGAAATAGATATTTGAAGAAACTATTGCCGTCGCCACAGTATAAATAGTCGCGCTGCGCCCAAGCAACCGAGGCAACAATGTGTGAGTGAATAGTCGTTTACGGACTTGATTCTTTGCTTCACTGTTTTGACTCGGCTTGTGGACCGGATTGTTTCGCAAGTGGTTTATCCCATCTCAGCGGATGTAATACCACCTATTGCGGACGCTCGTAATATGCATTTATGTCAAATTATAATATGCATTTATATAATGCCTATCTCCATAACGATCAAATACTTATTATAAAACTATATACTTAATTGACATTCACCTTCCCACTGAGACTGCATACATAAACATAAACACTCACGCGTGTCACCCAGAGGGGTAGGCAGAGACTACAGACTTCCATTTGGCACGATCCTGACACACCTCTCTCGCCTCCATCACATCCATACACCTACGCATGCATGCTCGTCGGTTAAGGGTACTCCTAATTTGGCCCGTTTTCAATAAATCGCCAATTTGGTCGATAAATTTTCGCCTAGGACGTCCCTTTCCGACTCTGCCATTCACTTCTGCAACATAAATTTTCTTTGTCACTCTTTCCTCATCCATTCTTTCCACATGACCAAACCACCGAAGCATTCCTTTCTTAATCCTGGTCACAACATCATCTTGCAAACCACACTCTTCTCTTATCACACAATTTTTCACCCTGTCATTCAGATTCAGCCCTAACATACTCCTTAACGACCGCATTTCTACTGCATTTATTCTACTCTCGTGCTTCTTCTGCCATACCCAACTTTCACTACCATACGTTAAAGTAGGGACCAACACAGCATTGTGAATTGCCATACGTGCCTTTTTTGACACATTTTGACTCTTCACAATAGAGTGCAGGGCTCCATTTACTCTGTTTCCTGCGTTCACTCGTCGTTCTATATCCTTATCATATCTCCCATCCCTGCTAAATACGCAACCCAAATATACAAACTCATCTACTTGCTCGCGACTGAGACTGCTATCGGTTAAAAGGCTTTTACTTGTTTTATAAGTTTTTGCTTGTGCGAGATATGTGTAGTTTCATTTTTTTTATCGAAAATACAATGTGAACAATGTGAACTATATTCAAGACATAGTATTTTTTGCGTTATGAAGCTTACATGTAAAAGGGACTTCAGTGGAATTAGTTTTAAAGTTGGTTTACGACTGATGTTCCATAAGTAGTCTACCTAAAGATTTAGAAGGAAGTTTTTGACAGGCACATGAAATGCAATCAACACTAATTGTAAACAATGGTTTGCCACCGCTAGTGTCATTCTTAGTTTTTTTTCATCGTGTTATAATGAAAAATTTACACTGCAAGCCATGGCATATTTTAGAAGTAATGATTTTTTTGTAATAAAGCAATAAAGATAAAGAAAATTCTTCATCATTAAATCCAAATTTCAGAAAGAGTAGAGAACTCAATTATTGAAATAAAATTCCCGTATAACATTGCTGAGATGACTCTAACAGAAGGAATAGAAAATAAAAAAATCGACTCCTGCATACTCTACAACGACAAGTTAAAATTAAAAAGAGTACACGGCCAATTGCACATCACATGCCGAAGATTTTGCTACTTTGTTTCGTGGATCCCTAAGGGTTTATTATATGAAAAAATTGAAAAGGACGACGAATTTTGGAAAAACATGGAACCAAAATTAGAAATAAAAATTCCATGAATGCCTTCTCCCTGAAACCATTGATGGTCGGATACAACGAAATTTACCTGTAAGAGAAAGGATGGAAATGCGACAGAATAAATGTACATATTAATTATTATATAACTTTTGTATTATTTTAAATACCCACAAGTTTTTCTGCCACACAAATATTAAAAATTTACTTGATAAGAGCTCTCATTATTTTATAAACTCCCCAATAAAGTTGGCAAATCAAGTAAGCAGAATTATCACACCAGGCACAAGAGTGCGAACATTAGTTACATATTATATGGATAAGGCTTGAATTTTTTCAAGAGCCACTTCACTGAAGTTCATTTAAAATAATGGTAAACGTTAATTATAAACTCCTTAAATATCATTCAACTTCGTTACTTCGTTGTCGCTTGAAAAATACAATATGAGCATCTAACTTCACTGTTCTATACCGCATGTAAAACAGTATATGATAAACGTCGATATCGACTGACATCTCTATGATATCGATAATAACTTCGACAGTTGTCCCTAATCGTGTACATATTAGCGCAGACGCAGAATAAATAATAGTACTACGTAGTATAAGTCTAACCCTCCCTCACCTCTGGTCTCCCCCGTAGAATGCGATAGGGACAATTGCAGCTCAGAACGATTTTACCTACAAAAACCATGACCGATCGACATTTCGTATTTCCCTGTTTTCTCACCAAAATCTAATTATTTTTGGTACCAAAATTTAAAGGAAGAATATTTCATCTATCATTTATTTTTATCTCAAAAACCTTTCAAATTTCCTTGGTAGTCGTATCATTACGGAGGTATAAACGGGGCATTTTTTTTAGGTTTTTGGAAAGTCATATTTATTTTTGTAATATTTTTTTTGGAAAAAAGTAAATGACAGGGGCATGCCTTCAATAGACCTAAATTTTTATAAACAAAAACGATTACTCTAGAGGCATTATCCAGGAAGAGAATAGGGGAATACATTTGTATGGAAAAAATGCAGGCCGTCTACGCTCTTAGTAAGATGTCGTTATGCCTCGTGGTGTCATATTGCCACCTAGACTTACAGTGATAGAGACAGTACTAGACTTAAAGGCATCTTAAAACTGAGTAGCGTTTGAGTATTGGACATAAGTTACTCACCTTTGATTCATAGCTTTCCTCGCACGGAACAGCAAAGCCCTTGTCGAGCAGTTCTTTGTTCACGCTGATTCGTCCTCCTTCGGCAAGCAATTCTATCGCTACTACGCCGTGAACTACCGAGTAAACCTGTTCATAGGATTGTTTATTTAATTTAAAAAGTGTTATTACCGTAGTGAAATACTTATAAAATTATAAAATTTTTTCCACGTGGAAGCGGCGCAAAAGGTTCCATCATCCTATTTAGTATAGTGGTGTGGTGAAGAGACAATGAGAACTTATGGCTTCCAACAGATAACTTAATATACCAGTAGAGACCAGGGACGGGGAGCAGCATCAAGGGTGCGAGACGTCATCATTAAGGCAAATCCTCCCTATATATAAATAGGACACTTTAAAGAGTTTAAGGTGTATTTTCTGTTAGAGTACAATATAATGGCGCTGGGTCTTAAATCTTTAGCTTTAGACCCTCTTGTGGTACGGTACGTAGATATAACAATGTTACCTCACTGCTTGCGATTGTCCAGCGAATTAGTACTAGTAAGAAGAATTTTAGAAAAAACAACGTGTCCAATCTCAAAAATGATTCAACGGGCCCTGGTCGGAGCGGCCGCCAGCGTTTCAACTGTAAGGTTTTATGTCTTCATGAATAAAAATAAAAACTAATTTGTAAAAAACTGTACGCGGGGTGGTGCAGCAGCGACGCGGGCGCCAGGCTACAAGCTAGTGGGTGCGCAGTATACACAGAGCGCAACACGTGAGTAGCTTGCCGAGCAGGCGGCCCCTGGTGACAAGGCTGGTAAAGTGGTGCAACGCGGGCGCGCTCCAGTGCGCGTGGTGGTGCAGCAGCGGCGCGGGCGCCAGGCTACAGGCTAGTGGGTGCGCAGTATACACAGAGCGGCAACACGTGAGTACCTTGCCGAGCAGGCGGCCCCTGACGACGAGGCTGGTGAAGTGCTGCAGCGTGGGCGCGCTCCAATGCGCGTGGTGGTGCAGCAGCGGCGCGGGCGCCAGGCTACAAGCTAGTGGGGTGCGCAGTATACACAGAGCGCAACACGTGAGTACCTTGCCGAGCAGGCGGCCCCTGGCGACGAGGCTGGTGAAGTGCTGCAGCGCGGGCGCGCTCCAGTGCGCGTGGTGGTGCAGCAGCGGCGTGGGCGCCAGGCTACAAGCTAGTGGGTGCGCAGTATACACAGAGCGGCAACACGTGAGTACCTTGCCGAGCAGGCGGCCCCTGGCGACGAGGCTGGTAAAGTGGTGCAACGCGGGAGCGCTCCAGTGCGCGTGGTGGTGCAGCAGCGGCGCGGGCGCCAGGCTACAGGCTAGTGGGTGCGCAGTATACACAGAGCGGCAACACGTGAGTACCTTGCCGAGCAGGCGGCCTCTGACGTACGAGGCTGGTGAAGTGCTGCAGCGCGGGCGCGCTCCAGTGCGCGTGGTGGTGCAGCAGCGGCGCGGGCGCCAGGCTACAGGCTAGTGTGGGTGCGCAGTATACACAGAGCGCAACACGTGAGTATCTTGCTGAGCAGGCGGCCCCTGGTGACTAGGCTGGTAAAGTGCTGCAGCGCGGGCGCGCTCCAGTGCGCGTGGTGGTGCAGCAGCGGCGCGGGCGCCAGGCTACAGGCTAGTGGGTGCGCAGTATACACAGAGCGCAACACGTGAGTACCTTGCCGAGCAGGCGGCCCCTGGCGACGAGGCTGGTGAAGTGCTGCAGCGCGGGCGCGCTCCAGTGCGCGTGGTGGTGCAGCAGCGGCGCGGGCGCCAGCCCGGCCAGCACGCAGCGCATGCCCAGCGGCGGCGTCTCGCGACACACGCCCGCCGGCAGCTCGCGCACGCTGCACTTGCCCACGCGCCCGAAGCTGCCGTAGTCCACGTACACAACCTGCGCAATTCGCTAATAACTCTCATGCAATGGCGACATTTTCGCCTTTTAAGTCGGGGTTTTTAGAAAACTTTTAAAAGGGACGTTTAATATTGAAAACTTGGTTATGAGTCAAAATCATACAATCCGTCTTCTCGTCACACGAAAAACGAAAAGCATTAAAACGGAGAGAAGTAAATAAATATATTAATTTTTTTCATTAGATAAAATTGACTTTGTAAAATGTGTTCTCAACATAACCTTAAAACGTAAGTAGCAAAGCTCGGCTTACCCATTTATCAAATCGAGTAATTTTCTTAAGAAAATTAAGTTAATTTTACAGAAATGAAACAAATTAAACAATTTAAGATATTAAAATTCTTCAATAGCAAATGTTTTTATCTTTCACTCAAGAATTACTATGTAAGTAATTTTGGTAGTAACGTCAGTAATAAAAGCCAGCCGATCCGTATGGGAATTTTTAACTTCTCGCTAAGAAAATTTTAAATTTTCAAAAATAGGGAAGTTATTGGTTTCACCCCGATTTTCAAAAATCGATTTTTCATTACATCGACGTTTTGAGATCCCAGAAAGCTATTCTGACTAATTTCACGTGAACGTCCGTAGAGATGTATGTATGTATGTATGTGTGCGTGTGTATGTGTGTATGTGTGTGTATGTGTGTGTGTGTGTGTGCGTGTGCGTGCGTGTGCGTGCGTGTGTGTGTGTGTGTGTGTGTGTGTGTGTGTGTGTGTGTGTGTGTGTATCTATGTATGTTAACCTTTTACAACTTTTGAACGTCTTGATTGATTGAGATGCGGTTTAAGCAGCGTTCTAAAGATCTCAATGTGGAATAGATTTGGTGATAATATGATCTCATTCGGACGAGTAGATTTTCAGAAATCTCAAAAATAAAAATTTTGAAAAACTGTTTTTTTGGTATAACTTTTAAACGGCTTACCCGATCGATTTCAAACCGCACCGCACCGCACTTTTTAAATTAGCGGAAAGTTCCAGGGATGTCCTCCAGGGTTGACCAATTTTTTTAAATGTCATTTAATGAGTTTTAAAATAGAACAATACGCCTATTCTATTGTACGTACTAGAATATTTTAATGATATTTACTTGGCTTTAGAAATAGGATAACCGAGCTGTTACGGAACATTTTTCATGTCATTTACTGGGGTTTGAAATAGAACAGGCGTACTATACTAGAATATTTTAATATTATTTACTTGGTTTTAAGACAGGATAACCAAGCTGTAATGGAACATTTTTTATGTCATTTACTGAGTTTTGATATAGAACAGGCATACTATACTAAAATATTTTAATGTTATTTACTTGATTTTAAAATAGGATAACCGAGTTGTAAGGGAAAAATTTTAATGTCATTTACTGGGTTTTGACTTATGACAGCCGAGCTGTTTGAGCTGGGTAAATAAGGGGTATGTTCCGAAACGTTTCCAGATACTGCCGAATACAAATGACTTCATCAATTGACACTATATTGTACTGGCGTGCCACCGCCATATTGTGTCGGATATCCGGACATAATAAAACAATTTTTGATTGTGTGTGCGCGGAATGAAGCATGCCAGAATTTGTTCTTATTTATTCAAATACAAAAAATTATAGAATAATTGCTGGCTCGCCATTAATAATAATATAATTAATAATAATAATTTATTTTATTTTGATAAAATGTACAAATTATTCCAATAAGTCTTAACTTAAAAATAGTCTACAATAACAGGCACCTGAACTAGGATAAACCTGTATCTCAGGTGTATGTGCTAAAAGATACATTAACAAATATTTTCTGTTTCTTATATAAAATGAATAACGTACTAGCTAATAAGGGTTATTTGGGTAAAATATATTATCATTAATTTACTTATGATATTAATTAACTTAAAACAATCAACAACTTCTCCGTATCATCGTATGACAAATTTTGTAACCATGTTCGAATTACCTTTTTTACAGTCTGCCATTTTTAATGGATATATATACAAAATTGCATTGACTTGATTATACAAAAAAGGGCCGAGAAATGTAAAAAATCTATGCATGAAATAATGCCTTATTCTAATGTTAGTTTCAATTACTTTATCTTTGCGCCTTTTATCAGTGACCTCTCTTCTATAAGGCAATCTTAAGTGCTGTTTTAGTAACATGCTCATAACAAATAACTGGCGCACTGAGAGGACATTATAGGATTTGTATAAGAGATGGGATGGAAATAGAATAGGGCGGAATGTTGCAACTTTTAATACAGCTCTTTGAGCGCGTTCCAGTGGTAGTAGTGTAGTTTTAGCTGCTCCACCCCAAGAGGTTATACAATAGGTGAGTATTGACTGACATAATGCGTAATATACTTGTTTTACTACCTTATTATCAGCAAAAGAACGAATTCTTATTATTCCATTAGGAGTATATAATGATTTTTGGAGCATAAAATGACAAAATAATCGCCAACACTTTTCCAATATGGGGATAATGTATGACATCATATACTGTCTTATGTTTTAGAACGAATCACCAGTATAGCGTCAATTCATGACGTCATTTGCATTGGACAGTACACTGGGTTGTATTTCGGAACATACGTCTCACCGACGGGCGTACCTCGAGCATTTCGCGGGGCAGCAGCGCGGCCACCCGCGCGCGGTAGAACGCGGTGCCGGTGTTGTCAGCGTAGGGCGCAGCCAGCAGGCTGCCCACGCGCACGGCGCCCGTCACCGCCAGCAGCGTGCCGCGGTTGAGCGCCGCCTGAATCTGGCGCAGCTCGCACGCGGTCGACTCGTCGTCGTACTGCACCCAGAACTTGCTCACCGATATCAACTGAAATACAACCGTAAATTCGATAACTCGTCTAAATTATCATTACTTATATTATTACATAAAAACATAACGTATTGTTACGTTAAATGCCGATTAGTATGCAACACAGCAAGTTTATAAATATGAATTAAAAAAATATTGTCCTTGGCCTGACTAAACTCTTTGGCTTGACCATAGGTCTTAATAAGTTGGTCCATTACACTGTCGAGGCCTGGGTGGTTAAACTGTGGTAATACATAATTGGTTGTCGTAACAATATTATATGACCAAATATTAGTGTATTTGTCTAGTTTTTGAACTTCTGGACATAAATCCGTGAAGAGGAAGATGTGTGTTGTATTTGGTAGAAAGAGTATTCTATAGTTTATTAAAAACATTTTTATCATTCATTACAGCCTATGAAAAGCCCACCATAGATTGCTTCATAGGGTGGATATTTGCCACATTTTTTTATTATTATATTTTTTTTGTTAACCTATTGCTTGCACAATTTAACTTGGCCGGGCTGAAGTTAGTCGCACGAGGCTGCGTAGATATAGTTTTTAGGAACAAAATGGTAACAAGAGGTGTGGGAGGGTGGGCAATAGCTAAAACTAGAGATGCGAACACGCATATTGCGCGGATAGAATTACCGCATATTAAAAAATGTTACGTAGAATCGATTACCCTTATTATCGATTACGAATCGATGTTGTATTATATATTATTGAAGTGAAGTGAAGTGAAGAAATTTTTTTAGAATCGTTGTGATTTGAAACTCGATGAAACGTGAAAGCGGCACTAATAAGAAACAAATATATAAATATATCTATAGGATTTAACCTGCGAGAGAATGAGATGGAATACATTATATAGTTTTACTTTTATCTCAGTCTCCGCATTGTGCGGTGTAAAGCACCGCATGGATGGATGAGGAATATAACTTTTTTGAGGAATATAACTAATTAATTAAATAAATAAGATTAACATTATTGAACAAAATTATCTTAATCAATCCCATTCATAACAATCCACGATTTTATAACTTACCGATTTAGATTAATTTAGTCAAAACGCACAAGCCCCCCCCCCTTTTGGTTCAGCCCCCCCCAAAAAAAATTTTTTTGAAAGAAAAAACACATAAAAAAAAAAAAAAAAAAAAATTAAGAATATTATTTAGAAAAAAAAAAAAACCAGAGAAAAACCCAAATAAGCGAAGCTGGAAAGCGTAGTATTTGATGTACCACCTTGGACCAATCAATTTTTGTTCGATAACAAAAAAAAACACACACACACACGCACATGCCACGCACGCGCGCGCGCACACATACACACAATTAATACGTTCGTTAAAAAACGACTATTTAACAAAATTGCTATTATATTATTTTGGGGCTACTGAATGAATTTTTTGTCCCTGCTAATATCTTGTGTTTATTATATATTCAAATATATTGATTGTTTTATCGAAATACATAAAGATATTTTTATTATAATAACCTGTTTAAATAATTGATATAATCGATATAAAACAAAAAAAAGGTTCCGATGTTAGGAGCTAATAGGAAAGCCAACTACAGCCCGACCAAGATAGAGTGCGCGGACAATATTTCACTTTAACTATGTGGCTTCTTCAGCAAATAAATAAAATACTACATTAAATTAAAGTAATTTAATTTATCTTATGGTCTCAATGGAGACAAATGCTGAACATCATAATTTCATAATTATCTGTGCACTAGTGTTATTGAATACTCCTACTACTGCAAAGCCCTATATCCAGCAGTGGATTGTTAGTGAATAGATCATAATTAATAACTTTTATAACTTTATATTAACACATTTATATTGTTGAAATCTTTTATCTTAATCTTACTTGAGATATCTTGAGTGGAAAGTGTGTATCATCAACTTCAGGCAACCGAGGTACCATTTTCTCTATATCAACATTCATATTGCTCATCTCTAGGGCAGCCGCGAGTTCATTCGCTTTCTCTAACCTGTAATAATTAATGTAAAATAAGTTACTATCCCTCCAAATGCAAGTAACTAATAAAAAAAATCATATCTCTTGTGATATTGTAATGTTAAATAATATCAAATTAATCGTAATAATCTTAGCAAACCTCACTTCTATAACTTTATTTTTATAAATTAATTGCAGTGAAAATGTGAACGGCAGATTTCGTACCGCATACTCTTTTTGTTGTTTTGTTATAGAATTTGTACCAGATATTAAGGCAACTAAGCCATTAATTTTCTTGATAGTGTACTATTTTTAGAACTTGGGTTAATTAATAATATCAATAAAAAGATTTTAATAAATAAACGTAATATAAGCATAAACTAAACGCCTAGAAGTTGCCATATGTAATATAACAGAAATCTCGAAATGGTAATTAATTATACAGATATATAATTAATAGATAATAGAAATAACAATATATATATATATAACTAAACACTCACATATTATAACTAAGAATCCATTAATTGTTGTATAAAACCATAATGTTAAACGATTTAATGATAGGAATGATTTTAGTCATAATTTTTTTTAATCATATGGCAATTATTTACTGACATTTGACAGGTAAAGAAAATCTGTCTTTCAGTTCAGTTCTTTACTGTTGTTTTGGATTGTGTGTCTTTACGTTGACTTGAGCATCTGCTCCTTCGTACTCTATCTCTTGATAGAAGTTTCGCGAAAGGACGCTATACTAACTGTGCAACGTTCGCTTGTCCCGAATAAGAAGGCGGCACGTTTTATCCGATGAAAGTGAAGATGTCGTCAATACTATTCGACTGTGGATATGTCCTAGAGATGTAAGTAGTTTACGAATAACATTCTGCATATGAGTAGGCTAGTGACAAACTCTGTGATAAGTTTTACGTATTGAAAAGTAGTCCTGATCGTTTAAACCAAACCATACCACACTAAGTATGTATATTGTCTAAACTAACAAACACGGCTATTTGTATGTAAAAATATACAAATTGTTATTTACATGTATCTTACTTGGTTTGCCTAAGAGTGTTAGAATAGGTATTAGTCTGATAGTATGACCGCTGAAAAGGAGAGGAAAGTATATAATGTTGAACAGTACCTACCCCAAATCACTTCATTATTTCTAGACAACACCTGTTGACCATATTTGTCATCTGTGCTAGCTGCTCATTCACATTCATCTGATAATTTGCCGAGAAGAGCAGTTGGCCATCAAAGTGTGTGAGTTGTATGCGGACCATCCATACTAAGAATTAGTCGACGCAGAATTTTGATAGAAGGGGCAAATGAAGAAGAACAAAGAATGGCTAACAGTTTCTACTTGGATCCACCCACGAGAGGTATACATACTATAACTATTATTAATTATCTTTAATTATTTTAAACTGAGAATTAAATAATAATAATTATCTCCCACTATTACCATGCATATTTGAATGCAAGCTTTTCTTTATTTATATTTTTTTGTTTTAGCTTCGTTCTGAAGATGAAGCTTGGGTGTCATGTTGGCTAAGATATATATATATATATATATAGATAGATAGATGGACAGTTGTAGCACTAATGAGTCTGCTCGATCGGGGAAGAACTACGCTCTCACAGAATACCAGCGTAAAATAGCAGCTTAATACTGCTGTTTCATGTTGAGTGTAGAGATTCGGAGACACTTTCTTGCTGGAAACGAGGCATTTCATCCCAGTTCTCAGAGGTGACAACGCATTTGAATTTTGATTCAGCATCCACTTACCATCAGGTGGACTGTGTGTTCGATTGTTTAATTGCCTATATGTAACAATATACATTGGAACATTAGGAGAAGTTTTGGCGGGAACTTGGCTGTTGGTTGACGGATTGTTGCTCCTGTTTATTTGCTTAAATAATGGTTTGAAGTAGATTTTGATTCGTAAAAGTGATGCGATTTTGTGAATTAAGTATCTGCGCGTGTGAAATATTAGAGAAAACGACGAAACAAGTGCTTTGATGTTGATATAAACTTCAAGTTATTTTGATCGCTTGGGCGTCTTATGAACTGGAGTGGCTGTTGTTATCAACTGTCCACTGGGTTAAGCTGTCGTCGAAATACCTGTTAAAAAACTCCGCTATGTGACGCACCAGCATATTGTGAAGAAAAAGTATATAAAAAGAAAGTTTACGATAGGCTCAGAAGGGCTGGAACCCAGAGCCGTAAAGCCAGTGAAATAAAAAAAATTGGAACACTAAGTAGATAACTCTCCAGTAATAAATATTAGTCTACGTACATAACCTTAAAATTAAAACTGGTTATAACTTTCAAAAATCTAAGAATTTAAAAGGGGTTTGTCTATCATACTAACTACCAATTCAAACTAAAAATATTCCAAAACACGAAATTATATTAGCGGTACGAAATTCCCATACAAGCCTGCCATTCTATTTTATAAATAAAAAACAGTAAATTTATATGTTTGTTATGTTATGTCAATCTTATATGGTATGGTACAAAAACCTGTTATATATGAAAATGAAAGTCAGAATAAATCCTACTTACGGCAAAAGCTGAATTCTTATATCCATTTTTAACTGCCGAGCCTTAATCGCTTTGTAAATGGGTAGCACAACTTGTCCGGGTATTGTCGGGTCCTACAAAGTTACAAACATTATTTACATTATCAATAATTAATAAAACATTAAAAACTATTATTAATGTCAATTATTAGTACATACTCCCGTTTTGTCTTTATCGCGTTTCGAGTTGTCGCTTCCTTCCGAGAAAGTTAGATATATCTTTCTGAAAAGAAAATTACATACATCAAATTAATATAATTAAATTTAATGTTTTATAATTGATAGAAGATGACTTGCAATGTAGTATTTATAGACTAATTCTACTACCGCTATATTACTTGTTTTTAAAAAAACGTTACTAACCATACTATTTTGTTTGGTACTGTTCTGGAGCCTTCATATTGTTACTCTATGCACATGAAAAGTATTAGTGGAAGCTATGGAACTTCAAATTATTGTGCCATTTTTTGTTTGGGTTACCGTTACAGCCTATTAAAGTCCGCTGTTTAACACAGGTCTCGCTAAACATAGGCCTCCCCCATAGAGTGCCTCATAGGGGGGGGATATTTGCCATAGTTGGCACGCTTGACAAGCGGGTTGGCAACCGCAGTTTTTTATTTTTAGTCGTTATTAGGAAGATGCTGCTGCCCATCTCCTGAGATATTTCCCTCTGGCGCCTATTACGACACCCACGGTACGATATGGGGCAGTAGATATTCTTACACAAATTTATGCAAACGGCAAACTTTTGTTTAAGTCAAGTTTTAATAAAATATATATAACTTTACAATGTGATGTAACAACTTACCATGAAAAATCTGAACAAATTGAATTAATTACTTTTACGGATTATATCGCGTTTAATTCACTTATATTTAACTCCTCACATTTCGAGTGCTTTGCAGCAACCATGATCATGGAGAGACACAACTACCCGTGTTATTTCTCAAAAAAAACTTTAAACCAAATGATGGTATAATTTACGTAAAATTTAGAATAGATTGTTGAGTGGAGGAGCCGGATTCGATTAGGGGTAACTTCCTTTTGCTAAAGATGCAACGAAATATTGTTATATTAGCCACACATAGATCGCCATCGTTTTATAGCATTGAAAGTTTTCTAAAAACAGTTGAACACGTTTTACATAGAACGTAGAATGAGTTACTGTATTTTGAAGTCTTGCCACTTCAATATTTTTGAATGCATGGGTTTAGATTTTATTTTATTATAAGGAAATACAGGATCCCAAGCAAATGTTACCCAGCCGTTCAGGCGGTAAAAGCTGAAGGTATGCCGAGTAAATTACGACATTGTGATAGCAATCACCCCCGTTCTCTCCCGTCCACTGGATTATGGGTGTTGCAAAGCACTCAAAATTAAGTAGAATAAAACACGGTAAAATCCGCGGTAAAAAACTGTTACAGTAGTTTTTATTCAATGTGTAGTGTTCGCGTAAATAAGTAATTCTGAACAGTACAGAAAATTCATCAGACTAGGCTGTATGTGCATCGATGACCTTTGCTTTAAAAAAGCAAGTAATGTCGCGTACGCGCAGGTACCTGCTGTTTGTGTCGAAGGAGACGCTGGGGTCGTCGCCGAGCGCACGGCGCACTGCCTCGCGCACGGCGGGCGCGTAGGGCGCGGGCGGCTGGTGCGGCGGGAAGCCGCGCAGGTACACCGAGCGCCGCGGGTCCAGCCCGCCCAGCGTGCGTACCGCCTCGCACTCGCGTGCCTCGTCCAGCGACGCCTGCACGAAGTACTGCGGGTAGAACGCGCCCGCCAGCAGCACCTGCAATAGCACAATACACGCCCTTACACAATAATGCCCTACATCAGATAAAAATCAAACTTACATAAATAAATAATCCTCCAGACCGAATTTCGGTCACGGCGGCCTGCCTCAACGGAGGCTAGCCATCGGCGCAGAACAGGATTATAGTGCCCAAGTATATGCGCAAGCACAGGTGCACTCTATTCCCTCACTCTCATAATCCGATGGGACGGTAAACCGACACGACCGGAGAGAGATCAGGCGCAGAACCAAAGGCTTTACGTGCTTTCCGAGGCACGGGGATGAGATACCGCCAACTTCCTGACTCCGGGAAGCTACTGAGAACTTCTTGACAGAAAAACTCAATAATTGATTTTTTTTTTGCCCGACCCAGACCTCATGATCAGCAGTCGCACTACTACAACCACTAGACCAACGAGGCAGTCACATAAGTAAATATATAAACTATAAATATGATACAATTTTCCACAGTTCCAAAATACTTCGTTAATTGAATGGATAAATAAGATTGTTGTGCTTGGTATAATTATAATAACAATTGTCCTCCAGACCGAATTTCAGTCACGGCGGCCAGTCTCAACAGAGGCTAGCCATCTGCACAGAACAAGATTACAGTTCCCGAGTGTATGTGCAAATACAGGTACACCGTCACTATTCCCTCACTCCCATAGTCTGATGGGACGGCTAACCGACAAGACCAGAGAACGATCGGGCACCGAAACAATAGCTTTACGTATTTTATGAAACGCAAGGGCGAAACAGTGAAAATATGAGTTATTTACTTTACTTTTTACGTGGTAGAGCCATGTTCTAGCTATATTATAGGATCACGCTCTCACAGAATATCAGCGCCAAATAGCAGCGTAATGCTGCTGTGTTTTGTATGTTGAGTGTAGAGAACCGGAGACCCTTTTACTGGAATCGAGGCATTCCATCTTGGTACTCAGGGGTAACAACGCCTTTGCATTTGATTCTTAATTGAGGATAAATGTGGATGTTTATGGGCCATAGCATCCGCTTACCATCAGGTGGACTGTGCTCGTTTGTCACCCAATGCTATATTTTTTTTAAATACTAGCAATGCTAATAACATAACTAATATTCAATTTAATTATTTCTGGTAAGCTTAAAATACTTGTGTTAGGAGTGGTTCACGACAGTAGTCGAATGGCGGATTCCATCCCACGATCTTTTGAGTTCCCGGTCCGCATTCTGTCATTAGGCTACTGTCGTTTCGATTTTTTAACACATTATCGCTATTTAGTCTTTTTTAAACTTAAAAAATACAATAGTAACGGTATTTTTGTTTCCGATTTCTTTACCAACACAGGCTTACTTGAATTAGAGTTGTTACTGTCACCGAGCCGTATCTATGTGTGTGCGAAATTGTAAGGTTTAACACTTCAATCCCCATAAAAAGTCCATGCAGTCGCATGCGTCCGGCAAATCCTGAGCGGTCGCATGACGACCGCAACCACGCACAGCACTTTAAATTATTAATACTTATATTTAGAGACTACTCTTCTATGAAGAAGTTTGGCATTATAAAATCTATATAAAATTTTCTAGATAATATTTGCCAAATATAATGCCATAAAATATAATGCCAAACTTCTTCATAGATTTATCCCTTTAACGACGCTCTTATACGATCGTGCGTTCAACTTTACAAAAATATTTTCTCGCGCTCGATCAAATTTACGAGACGCGGCCGGTACCACACGGTAGTGCGTTTAGTATAATGTGAACTTTTTTTTTAAAAAAACTTTGCCGCAAAGGTTATACTTGTGAGAAGTTGTCGCGGATTTCTTCCCTTTTCAAAATGGCGGTGCAGCTAAGTGTCGCGCGTGGAAAAAGTAAGTAATGATTAAAAATATTTTAAATAGTATTTACGGGTTAAAGTGCTGTGGGTGAGTGCGGTCACATTTGACCTCTTGAATTTTGAAGGAATATCGAAGCGGTCAAATTTCGGGATGCTTGCCGTTTGAGGGGTTAATTTGCTATCTGTGAGTTTACTAAACGGACTATTGTTATTGAGTGTGCTGATTTCCCCTGCAAAAAATAACAGCCAGTTCTGTATCGAGGAAGAACGATATGGCTACTCCACTCCCGTCGGCCCGTGATGCTATGTGACTTGTATATATACATACACACAATCCATATTAATATTTTGCTATATCATTAACAATAATAGAATAATATCATCTAAGCTGACCCTGCTGGCCTGCAAGAAATTTGAAGAATGTCTTTAATGGAACTAGACAACAAAGTGAAACAACTGTCGTCCGGACTGGACATTTGAAAAATTGACGAAATCATCATCGCATATTACCCTGTCTTCTACTCAAAACTGGATTGATTTTTTTCACGAATAATATTAGGACTGTGTCCTATTTTTATGGTTTTCTTTTATTTTTACATTTGTTAATTTTTTTGGTTTATGCCGCTTTTCTAATAATGGTGATATAACCGGGCAATTTTAGTTACCTCAGAAGGTTCCTTTCTACTTTTTGATATAATTGATTTTATGGAAAATAAAATCAACACAGGAACATGGTAGTGGTTGATATTATGGTTTGTATCTTAAAAAATATTTGCTATAGTGTGAGTGAGCTCTTCCACTGTTAGTGGCTTCATTAACACTTCTTTCCTGTGATTATATTTAGTAAATATAAATAAACTAGTAACAAGGATGTCTTCGATGTAAGTTGAACTCACTTTGAGCACCAGATTAATCTCATGCTTGGCCCAGGGCGAGGTTCCAGGTCTAGGTTCCAGACCCTCACGGGAGAGACGCAGACGAAGCTCTCGCACGAGATCATCTAACTCTCTCAACGCACGCACTTGTACGTAGAAGCGACGCGCCCACTGTGCCTCGCTGTTGCCCTGTTGCTTGAAGTAGTTTAACTGGCGTAAATGGTTCCATACCTAGAAGACAATTATCTTTATTAAAATAGTCCATGCAGTAAGAAGCAGTCAGGTCTCGGTGGGCCTAAATGTCAAAATTAATGTGGTATAGCAGCGCTTAATGCTGATGTGTTTCATTTAGATAATGAAGAGAACCGGTTACCCTTTTTACTGATAATAAGGCATTCCATCTATCATTATCTACATTTTGATTAGTAGCGGCAATTATTAGGTGTAATTGAGATCGTAGTGTTGCGCGCTATAATTAGCGCTCGGTAAATGACGAGTGATTATTAGCGCCATCTGGTATCAAGCAGCACAAATAAGAGCATCAAGATCTTCCTAGAACTCTCCCACTAGAGACATCTAGTCTCGAATCGAAGAACTAAGCTTTGTAGGAAGCTCCACACTCGAACTTTCTGCACCTGGTCGGTCGGGGGCCAGTATTTGCTGGAATATTTTTACTGTCAGTTTTTATTGTCACGAACCCTAACAGTAGCTCGTAACAGTAGTTTTATTTTAATCTAAATTTTGGTTCTTTATTGGAAATTTTAAAAAAATCTGTATACTTGTCATACCTTATACACATTAAGAAAAGCAATACTGTCACTCGTGGATCCATCAGCCCATGTAAGTTTTGAGTTATAGGCGTTCAATCGTTCGCGGAAGGGACTGCTGAACACGTTCTTCACTGACATGGCAGCCGCTATTAAAAGATAAAAAATAAATAAGACATTAGTAATTGCTAAAAAAAATCCGTCATATAAAATAAATAAACCTTAGAGAACCTTATACTAAAAGTATATTTTTTTTCTTTTTATAAGAACACTAATAAGAACTTCACAAGTCTTTGAAATATTTTTTTCTTCACCGCCGAGCATGGGGTAAATCATCACTTAAAATTGCAATTAACAATTTCATAGGTCCCGGTGGGGATCAAAGCAGAGTTGCTCGCGTACTATGAAATTTACACCGAACACTTAGCCCCTGAGATACCGCGCCTATTTTATTCAATAATACAAATAAATACGTTAAACAATACTAACCCATAATAATGCTCTCCTCAAAACATCCATATATATATCCTAACATAATGAGCTTGGATACCCTTACGTCGAGTGGTAATTTGGCCATGATGCGACCTAAATACGTGATGTCACCATCGGACACACACCACTCATCTCTTAGAGTTTTTTTCAAAGCTCCCACCTAAAAATATACAAGAACTTTCAATCATTTAACATCAATAACTTAAAAAATATTATTTTTTTACATAAGAATCACAGGTAGTCTGAAACGAAGGCAATCACATAAAATTTATTTATTGTTTTAAACGTTACGGGGTAACGTTTTTAAAAAATAAAAAAAACATGCGTGCAGCTCACACGCCACGGAAGTGAAACCTTCAAATGAAATAAGTATAAAATAGAAATACTTTACGTTAAATGGTTTATTTAATATTATAATTTAAACTACAAGTTCGGCATAAACTATAAGAAAGGACAATGGCGAACTCCTAAACAAATTTTATGTGACTTTTTTTCTTGCGTCTACAAATGCAAAATATGTAAATATATAGAGTTTAAAATCCTAAACACTTTTTTCTTCGGTCATACTACTACAGGAAGTCAGGAATTAAAGATATTCCGGTTTAAACAAAATATACATCAGACTAGGCTGTATGGTATAAAACGCCTAATTGGCGAATCTTTACAACAACTAGTCACTATAATTTTCATATATGTTTAAATAGGCTAATTACTAGCATAGAGGGAATCCTTAAAGAACTCATTAGTATAATTATAATCCATAGGCACACGACACCTTCGTACCTTCTTGAACAAAATGCGTAAGCGACGCCGTTTACAACTTTTTTCTCGCGACCATTGAGCTATAAACTATAAAGCCTCCTATTTCATTTTTCTCCCACGTTAAATGTTATGAATTTATATGTGTCTTTTTTTACTGTCGCTTTTTCGTTTCATAGAATTTCAAATCACAACGATGCTAAAGAAGTTTTCACTTCAAAATAAAAAATAAAAATATTTTTTTTTTATAGAAGCTGAGTAATCTCAGATTCAGTTTTAATCACGTGTTTAGTACGCACAGTTCTTATAGTTTTTTTCTTTTAAATTATTCGAGGCCTGCTATTACATTCGTTCCATTATAGCCTATAAAAGTCTACTGCTGAAAATAAACCTCCCCTATAGAATGCTCCAAAGGGGGGATTTTGCCATAGTTTATACGCTTGGAAATCCGGTAAGCAAGCATGGTTTTGTATATTATAATTTTGAGCTTTTATCAGGAAGACCTATTTCAGTTACACCAGAGAATACACGGTACACGGTTACACGGTTTTGTAAGAATTTGTATCTACCCTCAATTCTCCATTTAAGTATTGTGAATCCCTTTTGCTGAGCACCGCCATTGCCAAATAGGACAGATTCTTAGACTAATGATTTCTGTTTTATTAAAAATAACGATAATGGTGCCTGAAGTAGCGGTAAAGTAATAATAATATTATTATTGTCTAAGTTTTCTATATTGTGGCACTGGATGAGTACTGACATCTACAACCCAGATTTTCCTATTGTAAGCGTCAGCCGAACTGCTGTGTAGGATAAGTAAATATTTTGTATTATTGTTTAAGGACTTTGTAAGATGTGCAAATAAATATTTTGATTATCATAGTTATCTATAGTATGTAGATAAACTATAGATCATTATATTAAGTAAATATTAAGATTCAATGATTATACAATATGATATACATATTTGACTGACATCCAACACAGACTATGATGGGGATATCGACATCATTTTTCTCTGAAGGCATTATGATAAAGCAATATATGATGGGGATATCGACATCATTTTTCTCTGAAGACATTATGATAAAGCAATAGGTCCAAGACTGAATTAAAAAATGCAAAAGTTACAAGTCTTGTGTAGTTCATTACATATGTACTAGGAAACATTTCCGTACCCTGAACTAATAGACTGATTTCAATAAGCTAAATTGGTCATTGGTCGGTCCTATGATGCTGTCTAGCGCAGTAGAAGTTTTTGTTTACATGACAGTTAATGATGTCAACAAACTCCTAGTTTGATCAGGTCCGATTTTCCTTTGCTAAATTTTACATATCACAAAATATAAAATATATACTACTCTAATCAAATATCTCTTATTTTGCAATAACCTAAACATAACACAGAATGAATGACAATTCCAATAAGAGACAGAAGTGAATCAATAAGTATAAAAATCAAGACTAGTACAATCATCCAGTTCTGTTTAAAAATCCTAAGTAGTAAACTGAATAAAATTTCTAGTAGATTAATAGATCAATCTATGAGATGACTGAGCAGGCATAAGATTAACGGTTACCTCTTTTAGCACAAGAATTGTCCTGTGTATGTTGGACATGTCGGGTGGATCCATAGCAAGTGCCAAAATATCACTGGGTGGTCCCATATCCAACATTTTTGCTAGTAATACCAATCTCTCAAGCGGACAGCGAATTATCTCGGGAGTACATTCATCTGGAAGGTTTGCCTATAAGAAAAGGAAAATTAAATGACTAAAATAATGTGAAAAATCATTACATAGGTGGTAATTTCTAACATAATAATGGTAGTATAATATTTAAATATGTTAACAAATCTCTTTTGCTTATTGTAAATTAAGTAATTGTCATCATTATTAATAACTAATTAATAATGATATCAAGAAGTTCATTTTGGATGAAAGCCATTGTGAACTTTACCACAATCTAAAATCTATATGTATATACAGGATTATTTTTCAGAGTAGTCAAATTTTAAAATTAAGTTGAAATATATGAAAAGTTCAAATATATACATAACGATAATGTTGCAGTTTTTGAAAATGCGAGTACTATCTACTTTTATTTGAAATTATCGAAAATTAAATGTGATTTATGGGGAACAAAGTTTTTGCCTCCCGATCAACTCTTACGAATGTGTTGTCAATGTGCACGCACGCACAGTAAAATCAGTTAAAATAATGCATTACCACGCAATTTGAATTTAAAAAATAAAAAGGACAGAATGTTTTAGATATTTTTCAATAAAATTTTCTTCGCCATTTTCCTATATTACTTATTCTGAACCTGCTCTGCAAATTTAGCCGGTTATTGCAAAATAAACCTGTATATATTATATTCCATTATAGATTATAAAATAAATACAACTGAAATACAAACTGACAATTGAAGAAAATGGGGGTATGTTCCAAAATAGATCCTAGTGTACTGTCCAAAGCAAATGACGTCATGAATCGACGCCATACTAGTGATACGTTCCAAAACATAGGACAGTATATGACAGTCATACATTTGCGCCATATTGGATAAGTGTTGGCGATTGTTTTGTCATTTTGTGCTCAAAAACCCTTATATTCTCCTAATGGAAATACCAGCAATTATTCATTTCAGAATTTGTTATTATTTATTCAAATAATCGGATATCCGGCCATATGAAAAACTGTTTTAATATGGCCGGATATCCGACACAATAATGGCGGCACGCCAGTACAATATGGCGTCAATTGATGACGTCATTTGTATTCGGCAGTATACTGGAAACGTTTCGGAACATACCTCTATTTTCTGGATGTTAGCGCTGTTAGTCTATACGACTCTTACAGCTTCATCTGTCTCAGGGTTAATTAAAAAAAGGGAAAGGCAATGAGGTGAGGATGATTATGAGTGGTTTATGGTTTGGTATTGTTACCAATCATCATGTCGCCTTTTTAGGCGTTCTAACCACAGTCCGAGGGGGGGGAGTACGGACCCCCGTCTTTGACTGCTCAGCTCGTGTCGGTCGATGGTCAGGGCGGTGAGAACCGCCCAGGAACGCGGGTGTACGGTGTGTTTGTCCCATTTAGTGTGGGTGTAGTGTCATTGTGTGATGTGCCTGCGACGTTAGGGTCGACTGGATCGAGCGGTTATCGGAACATACCCTGGATAACTTACATAAAACTTGTCAGTTACAAGGCGATAGACGCGTCCATCACGCACACGACCGGCACGACCAGCTCGTTGTTCGCAGTTGGTTTTTGAAGCCCACGATAACTGCAGTGATGTGAAGTTTGTATTCTCGTCGGCCACAAGCACCTTCATTAGGCAGTAATCAATCACTACAACAACCAATTTCTTACTCAACTTTTTTTCCTTGTTTTATTCAAGGCTCTCTTAGTAAGCCAGACATGAAAATTTAATTGCTAGACCTTTCTGTAAAAGAGCTACATAATTTATTTATGACACTGTTTATATGTTAAGGACTAGATGGTGAGTGTAGAGGACCGGAGACCCCTTTTACTTGGTAGGTGTAGAGACCCGGAGACTAGTTTTACTAAAATGAAGCATTCCATTTTAGTCCTCACGGGTGATAACGCACCTACATTTTGGTTTGTAGTCGAGGATAGGTGTAGATGTCTTTGGGCCACAACTACTGACCATCAGGTGGACTGTGTGCTCCTTTGTCACCCTTATCCTATAAAAAAAATAGATGGAAATGTTTTACAATCAATGGTGAGAAATAGAAACTTTTTCATACAATTTAGATTATTAATAATACTTCGGTTCGGAAAATACCTCTATCCTGGGAAGGACCAGCAAGAAACCCAACAGGACCGTTATTTTACAAAGCATAGAACAGTTTATAATATCCTATATTACACAAATAACTACACAAAACAAATTAGAAATAGCTTGGCTAGCGATCACCTCATTCCCAGGAATAATTATTTATCATCCTGAAATTCCTTAATATTATAATAACAATTTTTATTTAGTACAGTTTTTGAATTTGGCGGTGGAGAAATTTTGTATATTTTCTGGAATTTTATGGAAATTACTGACTCTGTGTAGTCGTTACTACTATAGTTCGGCCGTTCAGAGAATGCGTTCTTGACACGTCGCGATTGAACTGACGACGTAACTTTGTAATTGCGTTGCAGTTACGATAAAAATATTTTTGCTGGTTGTTTACCGTTTTAACAATTGATGAGCATTAAAACAACATTATTATATCAATAATCAATGAATGTTATAATTTTGTGCCAAACTGAGTGTCAAATAACTTGGTAAACAATATTTTTCTAAATCTATACTAAATACAAGGTTATGTCAGCGCTTTATATTTGTAGTGCTGTGCTAACAATAACAGGCAATAACAGTATCGTAATCTGTTCTTATACAGTTATACTTTATAAAACAATACGTTTTGTTTTTCTTTTTAAGAATTTGAAAATAATGGACTATAAAATAACTTTTATTAAATATAGAAATAAAACTACGACCAAACCGAACGCGCGAAAGAAAGTAGCATTTTTATATTTAGGTTGAAAATGGTAACCCCAAATGGTATGGGCCGACCATTTTGTGACGCTAAAACAGTCGTCTGTTGTCGTTTCGTGCGCATAAACCACGTTCTTCAAGTGTTTTCGATCTGTTTTTATTTGATTACCCGGCTTTCGTTTAATGGACGGTTTCTGCTTTTCAAACTGACATCGGCGCTAAATCGAACTTCGATTGTGTTTTGTATTGCGTTCTTTTTACTTTTGGTGCATAATAATGCCTAAACGTGGACAAACATTGAAAAGTGGAGCCCGTGAGTTAATCATCAAGCTGCAAGATTACTTTACAAGTTTACTGTCGAACAAGTACAAGAACGCGTCTCTCAGGCACTTGGAGTTAGCAAACGAACGATAACAAATATTAATAAAGAAAAGTTCGGCTCTACTGGCACGGAAGATAATATTTTACGTACTCCGAAGAAGAAACGTAGAACTAAACCCGTGACAGATATTGACACCTTTGACGCCGATGCAATCAGAAATCATATATATGGTTACTATTCCAGAAATGAATATCTCAATAGGAAAAAGCTTTTGGCATTGTTAAGAGAAGCTGGACTGTTTAGCGGGGGTAAAACTGATTTAACGACGAGACATGGCTAAACGCCAATCACACGGTTTCCCGTTCTTGGACGGATGGTACACAAGCGTCGGCGTCGAAAGTACCAATAGGTAAGGGGGCCCGTCTGATAATATGCCACGCAGGTTCTGCAAAATACGGCTTTGTGGAGAACGCGTTACTGGCATTTCAATCAAAAACCACAAATGACTACCACGAGGAAATGAATGTCACTACATTTAAAGAGTGGTTCCAGAACGTGCTTTTGCCCAGCCTACCAGAGCCTTCTGTAATATTCATGGATAATGCCTCCTATCACTCGGTTCAAATACAGAAACCACCTACCCAAGCTAATAAAAAAAGAAGAAATGGTGGCTTGGTTACAAGCAAAAGGCATTGACGCAAATATGCAGATGCTAAAACCGGAGCTAATTAAATTAGTTAAAGAAAATAAAGCGACAAATGTGCGATACGAAATCGATGAACTGGCTCTGGAGTACGGTCATCGCGTTCTAAGAATTCCACCGTATCATTGCCAATATAACGCGATTGAGCTAATCTGGGCTCAAATAAAAGGTTACGCCGCCCGCCACAATACTTCCCCGCCATTCAGCACGAAATAGATGAAGACCCTATTAAAAGAAGCCTGCGGGGGAAGTCACAAGAGATGACTGGGCAAAGGTTGTTGAGAAGACTAAAAACCTGATTATGGAACATTTTGACCGAGATATCAGGATTGATTTTGTTATTGATAATAATATAATTATACATGTAGGCGAAGATGATGATGAAGACACCACCTCCTCAAGCGAATCGGAGTCTGATTAATATTCTGTACGCACATTCAATTCAATGTACTTTATTGCATAGAAATACAGATTGTAACTTTGTAACAAAGAATAAATAAAACAATTTTATTATATTAATATTACCTTTTTTTGGTTTCCACTTAAATTACTAAAATATAAATTTTAAATGATTCCGCCAATTTAAAACGAAAATAATCTTAAAAATAACGCGGCGGTTCATTTTGGAGGAACGGTAACGAACTCAGTGTTATGTTGTGCCCATCACTAGTCGTGACTAACTGATAGGTGTCAGGAACGCATTCTCTGAACGGCCGAACTATAACTAGTGTTTGTCCTAGTATTTATAGGATATTCACATATTATTTTTACAACTTCTTATATTTTTGTGTACGTATGTTACATATTTATTAATTTATTAAAAGCTCAAAGCTAATATATTATTTTCCTCAAATTTTGTCTTGAAGACTCTAGGTTTTTATAGATCGCTCTTATGACCTTATTTTGCAAAACAAATAAACCTTAGTGTCAGTCGCGCATCCTCATAGCAAAATAATACGTCATTATGCTACGGAAATAGCTAAAATAAACTAGTCTATCTGCATATGCAGGTAAATATATGCAGGTAAAATTTCAAATCTTTTTATAGCATATGCTAATAATGCTTTGAGTATTAATCCAACGGAGACGGCATCGCAAGGCATACCCCTCTGCAAAAGGTACGAGAGTCCGACTCATACTCGTTATATAAAACTAGTTGCTCCGCGTCGTGCGTCATTCCGAAGTGATCGTGCCAGTAAATCGAGCTCCGACAAAATGCCGAATTGCAGTGTATTTACGTGAAAAAAAAAAACACTCAAAACCGTCAAGTATACAAAAAGACAATGTGACTTTTCATCTGTGAGTATTTTTAACATAATATTAAAGTAATTTTATCATTAAAACTCGTCCTTTGTGAATATTATCGTCCAATACCGAGTGTGACCATCATAGTTCATAAAGTGAAAAATAATCTATTTTTAAATAAATATAATTTACTACACAAGTTATATATATTAACGAAAATATATTTCCTAATAACTAAATCAGTTTATGATGAATAATAATCATTACATATAGATGTGTAGTGGATTTTGCTAAATGATTTATATATTCAGCTCAATTACAACACGATACTGAATATTATATAATTAAATGTAAATGATAACTAGTATTTATTAAAATATTATACAAAATACAGGCCAATTAAGTCAAATCGAAACTTGCTACCTCGCAGCAAAAGTGTGCAATTTTTATAAAATAAACTGGTATCACTGCAACCGAAAGTATTTCACTATAGTGATGCACGCCGCAACTTTAGCTATCGATAAGTTAATTAACCATGTGGGTTTGTCTGCCGAACCGTTTTGTTGTTTTTATTTAGATTTTATAATAAAGTATTACAAAAAGTAGTAAATTATTCTATTATTGGTTTGTTTTTACAGATTTCCAAGAGATCCTCTTAGGCGGCACACTTGGATTGTAGCTTGTAGAAACCATGAATCTGACACTGCAGTACCAATCTTGAACTTGTGGGAGGTAATGTTTGGCTGTAATTATATTTAGATTAAATATTTTTATTATTACCTTTGACACCAATATTATTCTACTTGAAAATATTTTATTAAGTTTACAAAAGCATTAACCTATCAAATTGAATTCATATATTTATATACATATTATTGTAATTGAAAACTTAATGTAGTATTATTTTTGTACGCCATAAATGACAAAACATGTAGCTCGTTTTAAGTTTTTAAACACTTGTATTTTATTTACTCATGTTTTACAAAATAAATATCTTTATCATTATATATATATATATATATATAGCTTGAATCTATAAAAATGATCTATAGAAATGACTAAAATAAAATTATTTATTTTAGGGTGATCATGGTGATTGCACAATATCGTCTACATCGAAAAAAGAAAGCTGGATGTTTCGGCAAAATTCCATAAGTTATCTCAAAAGTCACAATTCGAAAAAAAAATCCTTACATAGCCCGAACTCGTCCTACACCCAATGCGAGTACGAGCCAACACTTAGGCCAAGGAAAATGAAAATGAAAAAATGCCTTGACATAAAAAACAATAGCATAAAGAGGCGCCACAAGTTTACAAGAAATTCTATGCTCTAGCACTGAACTATTACCAACCAAAAGTCTATCGCTATGTACGTAAAACTTTTGGAACATGTTTGCCTGCACCACGTACCAATGTACGTGGTGCAGGCAAACATACGTGCTAAGTGGTACACTAACATCGATCGCCGACCAGGGTTTACTCAAGAAGCGCTGACGGCATTAAAATTGAGAGCGGAGAGTAACCCTGATAAATTTTAAGCTATTGCATAGCTTCTATCGCGGGCCTTGAGTGCGGGAAAATCCAGAAATTTCGTAACTAAAAAAACCTCACGCTCTCCGACGTGCACGGAGGTGTGGCTTGAAGGCCGTGCATTGTCTAACGATGGTCTAACGTCGTTTCTTTTCCTCAGTCTTCGACACGGTGTTTGTGTATAAAGTGTTTTGAAATTTTGAATATGAATGAACAAAGTGCATTTATTATTAATGAAGAAAGTCACGAAAAAATAGTGAAAGAAAATGAGTGAGTACTCTATATACATACCTACATTTTATTATTATCACTAATTTTGAATTGAAAATATAATACTGCTATAAAGATAACCTAAATTTTTGATATTGAAATGAGCGATATTAAAAGTAGCTCTCTTTATATACACACAAACACACACGCGCGTATAGTTTAAATTCTCAATTTAGATTCTCAATATGTATATATATATACTTGATTAACCGGACTAATTGTTGCCGTTAGGGATTCGGATAATCGAAAATCCGGATGATCGAATGTATGAAGAAAAGCGGGTTTTGTGCATTTGTAGTACATAATGTTCTGTGTTTATTAAAAACAACAATTTCAACGAAAATCAATGTTTATTAAGAAATTATTATTTTTTAATAAACATTGATTAAATTCCATGAAGAGATATAAATCTATATAATCATCCGTTACTTGCGACAAACGAGCCGCCGTCACCTAATTTTTTATTTAACTGTAATGCTTTTTCACAAAGCAAAGGGCCAGATATCATTTGCCCTGTTGATCGTTTTTGTAAAAACCAACAATACAAAGCGTCTTTCTACAAAACTTTAGGGGTGACTGACCGCGCGCACAAATGCAGCTAGCCTCCCCCTCCCGCACCTCACTAATCGTCGCTTCACACCGCTTGAGATAAGATGATCTACTATCAGGCGCTAACAAACCCCCGTCCCGGACATAAGGACCTATGTTCGCGAGTAAATTGGCAATTAGAAGACGCTTTGTATTGTTGGTTTTTACAAAAACGATCAACAGGGCAAATGATATCTGGCCCTTTGCTTTGTGAAAAAGCATTACAGTTAAATAAAAAATTAGGTGACGGCGGCTCGTTTGTCGCAAGTAACGGATGATTATATAGATTTATATCTCTTCATGGAATTTAATCAATGTTTATTAAAAAATAATAATTTCTTAATAAACATTGATTTTCGTTGAAATTGTGGTTTTTAATAAACACATAACATTATGTACTACAAATGCACAAAACCCGCTTTTCTTCATACATTCGATCATCCGGATTTTCGATTATCCGAATCCCTAACGGCAACAATTAGTCCAGTTAATCGAGTATATATATACATTTTGAGAATCTAAATTGAGAATTTAAACTATACGCGTGTGTGTGTTTGTGTGTATATAAAGAGGGCTACTTTTAATATCGCTCATTTTAATATCAAAAATTTAGGTTATCTTTATATCAGTATTATATTTTCAATTCAAAATTAGTGATAATAATAAAATGTAGGTATGTATATAGAGTACTCACTCATTTTCTTTCACTATTTTTTCGTGACTTTCTTCATTAATAATAAATGCACTTTGTTCATTCATATTCAAAATTTCAAAACACTTTATACACAAACACCGTGTCGAAGACTGAGGAAAAGAAACGACGTTAGACCATCGTTAGACAATGCACGGCCTTCAAGCCACACCTCCGTGCCCGTCGGAGAGCGTGAGGTTTTTTTCGTTACGAAATTTCTGGATTTTCCCGCACTCAAGGCCCGCGATAGAAGCTATGCAATAGCTTAAAAATATCGACATAGTCCACGCCTTACGTTGCTTACGCATTTAGACAGCGCCATCAGTGTATCGACACGTGTACAACTTGATGGTATGCGTAAACGCGATGAACAAAAACATAAACGCTGTAGTGTGCGTTTATAGTGACGCAATTTAATTTTGCATTTGTAGTTAGGTATACAGTTGTGTGGTTTTCTTGCGCCCCCCTGATGTTGACAGAATTTTTGTTTAGGAATTAACGCGCATGGCCTCTCCAGTTGTTTGAATACTCAAAGTAATAATGTAATAATGTTACTAATTAAAATGTTATATTAATAGTTACGAAAAACCAAGTCTCAGATCCACGTTAATTTATTGTTAATATTAATCAAACATAATAAAAAGTAACATTTATCACAACATGAGTTAAGGTACAAGAAATTGAAATAGATCTATTTGCAACTATTAAAGAGTTTGAGTTCAAACTCATTATTAGAAATATGGTCAGTAAATTAGTCAATGAAAAATGACGAACTGAGACTCCTTTACTAAATTGGTTATATAGCTTCGAAAATCATGCTTACCATACTTAACATCAGGTACAGTGATAGAACTCTCAGCAATGTTTGTCGCGAGGATGATCTTTCGATGTCCGACCGGCGCTCGTTGAAACACGCGGACCTGTTCGTCAGCGGTAATAGTCGAGTGCAATGGCAAAACCCACCAATTATATCTCGCACATTCTTTATCACATATCTTCGTTCTAAAAAAGATTCAATTTAGCTTTTATTGGGTTAAGATACTAAGGTGCAAAAATTCTAACGTCACATTTTATACTGAAATAACTATACGCGTTTACAAATTTCATACATAACAATTATAGCATATTTGTCACGGACGGTGAGGGAGCGACCGCCCGTCATCCCGCGTACCTCACCCGCCTCGACACGTCTCCCGCACCCTGCATCAGACCGAGGCCTTTGCGGAGTCGAGCGCTTACACAAACTCGATGCCTACGTGACCTCGGCAGCGGGAATATAAGAGCCCCATGTCAAGAACTACTTGTTGAACTACCGTTCAACAGCATGTTGGGCAGACAAAGTAAAATATCCCTCTGCAACAAGCGAACCCTGTATAAGGTCTGTATACGACCGGTTATGACCTACGCGGCCCCAATTTTTGTCATGCTAAAGCAAAACAATTTAAATGAACTTCAAATAGTTCAAAACCTCTTCTGTCGTCGGGCTACGAACGTACCCTATTACGTCCGTAACGCCGACCTCCAAGGAGACTTAAGAGCTCCCGACAATTCAACAATTCTTGATATCACTCTCTGAGAAGTTCTTCGAAGTCTCAGAGTCCCACTCAAATCACCTCATTCGCGAGACAGATGCCTATGCTTCTTCACTTCCCACTCGCTATAGCATCCGCAGGCCGAGAAACTCTCTCTCTCTGCCCAACAAGCTTTCGGCCGACCTGAATTGCCTCCTGGCGGCTCAGGCCGAGCCTCCTCATCTCATCTGATAATCTGCCTTAGTTAGGCACACTTCTCAGCGGCTACTCGCCGCCTGCGCCCCTCTTTTACCCAAGGAGGGTCGCTTTCGATACGGCTGTACGATCTTAACAGGTTAAAGTCAGTCTCACAGGTGGTGTATAGTGGATAAGGCACTGAGGTTTCTCGGTGAGTCCCACAAAACCACGCAGCCGGCCGCTTAACGGAGGGTAGCCCTTATTTGCTTCTGGACACAAAAAATGGGATTCATTCATTCGCGGCAACTCAACGCTCAAGATAAGAACAAGCAAGCAAGAAGACCCCTCAAGCTCTCTATTAGGTTTCATTAGGCAATCAAATATTGATAGAATATTAAACTGCCGCAATTTTGTAAATAGTGAAATAAATTAGTGTTAGTTTCGTACATTGTTTAATTTAACTCTGCCCCTAGTAGAATAAATTAGCAGTCAATTGCTATTAAATATTTACTAAGATAGATATCACAGTAAATAGTTAGTTCAGTTTCTTCTTTCTCCGAGAATAAATACACATAAATACAGTCCTCCACTTTGCTCTCATCCCCTACAGTACTAATATACATATATTATTATAATAATGGCTGTCATTACTACAAGCAGTAAATATAAAACATTCTAACATACTACACATACATGTTTGGAGCAACTGTAACGGCAATATATAATACTGTATTTAGTCCAACTACTTCAAGACTTCTATGCTTAAGGTATAACCCATTGTGTTTTTTTTTTAAATGACAACTAGATTTATACCATTGGTAATGATTTGAATCTATCCATTATCCTATTAAGATTACACATGTCTCCAACGGGAGCGTTCCACCGTAGATTCCATTATACGCGTCCGTTCCCTGTCGGAACAAGTAGTAACCCAGGGTAGTGTGGCGTTGGCGATAAGTCTCGATATCGTCAACGTCTTTAACTCTCTACCTTGGGATGCAAAATGCAAGGTTTAATCGGGGCCTACTTGCGCGACAGGTACATTCTGTACATGGGATAAGATGGTGGGAAGATCCGGAGAGAGATCAAACGTGGGGTTGCGCAGGGCTCGGTGCTGGGTCCGCTACTGTGGAACCTCGCGTACGATGCAGTTCTACGTGTCAAACTTCCTGCTGGCGTAAATATCGTGTGCTATGCCAGTGACACATTGGGGGTCGCCAGCGGGGTCACATTCGGGGGAACCAAAGAGCTCGCCGAGCTTGGGACGGAAGTCGTCGTTGCCAAAATCCACGAATTGGCTCTCAAGTCTCAAGCGCCTCATAAGTCCGAGGCATTATGGTTTCACAAATTACCTCGGAGCAGAGAATCACCCGACTCGTGCGTCTGCGTGAGTGGGTCTGAAATCAGAGTGGGGCGGTACATGAAGTACCTAGGGCTCCACCTGGACTGGACAGTCGCTGTGGCTTCCAAGAGCACTTTGAGCGTCTAGACCCCCGGACTGCTACCCAATCTAGGGGGACCGAGGGAGGAAGTCCGCCGTCTCTATGCTGAAGTAGTGCGATCCGTAGCCTTATATGGGGCGCCTGTATGGGCGAAAAGGCTAGCCATCCGACGCTGTAGAACTAAAATGTACAGTGTCCAGCGGAGGATGGTTATACGGATCGTGCGAGGATACCGCACGATATCCTTTGAGGTGGCAACAGTCCTGGCTTGCTTTCCACCCCTAGATATACTAGCGGATATGGATGCGAGGGTGTACAACCGAAGCCGCATCCTCCGTCAGGGAAGTGGCAGTGAGCCAGATGAGGCGCTCGAGTTTCTAAAACGGCAGGAGCAACAGAAAACTTTGGCGACATAACGAGGAGCACTATGCACGGAAATGCGTCATTGGCGCAATCCCGCCGGTTTTCGAAGCCTGGATGCAGCGACGAGTAGGAAGACTCACCAACACAGATAATTACCGGGCACGGGTGCTTCGGCGATTATCTGTGTAAGATCGGACGCGAAGCGACGGCGAACTGCTTTCACTGTGGAGGGCTGTACCAGGATCGCAGACGGGACGCGGATCCCATACGCTGGCGGTTTGCCAAGCATGGGAACGGGAGCGGATAATCCTGGCGAGCCGGATCGGTCGAAACCTCTCCCTGCCAGCAGTCGTGTTGGCGATGCTGAGCGAGAATTCGGCATAGAGGGCCGTAGCCACCTTCTGTGAGTCCGTAATGGTCCAGAAGGAGGCTGCTGAGCAGGATCGGAGGAGGACAGATCCCACTCGGAGACGACGCCGCCAAGGCGGTCGTCACAGTCCTCCCCTTGAAGATGGTGATCCCCTACCAGAAACGGGGCCTCTGGGGTTGCATTTGTGCTGGGGCCCCGAATGCCTAATGTAACCCCTGAGGAGGACGATGACTCGGAAGTGGTCCCGAAACATCGCGATAGCACTGCGAGGGTAGTAAGTACTGCCCCCGGGACGTGCTTTCAATAAAGCAAAGCGAAAGATCCCCGGTTGCGTTCCGAACGGAGATCCCGGGACCCCCCTTACATGCTGATGGAGACCACCGTGGGGTTTTAACCGGTAGGTGTCCGGCATAACCTTTCGGGTGCCACCGCAGTCAAAGGTGTCCATGAAGATTTCCTCATGAAAAAAAACACATGTCATTCATTTATAGTGACCCGATCATTCAAGTATTGATTTGTGTTACGACCCGGGTCATTAGGGTCGATTTTAACATTACTATACTCTTTAGTCGTAAGTCCTGTCAATCCTTTGATCCAGAATATTCAAAAAATGTAATTGCAATCATCTATACTTTAATGAGACTATGATGTCGGAATGAATAAATCATTCACGATTGACAGATTTCTAGATCAGACGGGTTTAGATGCAGTGTTAAAGAAGTAGATAATCACAAATCAAAATGTAATGACATCTTAATTGTACTTATTAACTCCAGTCGTCCAATCGAATCGAATTTAGAGCCCGAGGTGTAGTTGTATGGTTAACCACTCCTAGTAGTTACTCAGAGGTAGTGTACAAAGGGAACAGTATTTTCTTTGCACTCTATATTTTTTAGAACAGGCAATATAAACATTTCTACACAAAAATTATTTCTAAAGTACAAATTAATTATCTTTACCTCAATGCACCATCAGTCAAGCATGCATACAGCTCCTCAATTTCATTAATGCCAGGCAGAAATATTAATACCGAAGGTAAGTCAGCCTGTGATCGGTCTGTATAGCTATCTTCTTGTTTATCTATCTGCTCAAACGCATTTATCAGCTTGATTACCAAATGATGCATTTCAGGATTAATGCCGGGTACTTCGCCTTTAGGCATGGCTTGTTGAAGTATCTGTAACATACATTTTATATATTACACCTAAATATTAAATTTAGAGATTAATGAACGAGTTTCTAGATCCTCTTTCGTTTGTCAGATTTCGCCACATGCAGGGTTGGCACGAATAAATTATTTTGATTTAAATCATGATTTAAATCATGATTTAAATCACGATTTAAATCAAATGATGTTTTCAATGAAAATCAATGATTTAATCAAAAAATTTTAATATCACTTTCTTTCAGAGAAATCAACATTTAAAAAAAAACAGATTTAGAAATTATAATTACGTTACAAATTTGCGTCGTTTAAATCTGGGAAATCATTACTATATTTGAATAAGAAAAACTAGTTCTCCAGCCTTTTCAATTCCCAGTGGGTTTCTTAACTTGCTCTGAACAATTCCAAAAGTGGAAAACACTCTTTCCACAGCAGCTGAAGAAGCTATCGCCCCAAACAATAGCTTCACCACTAGAATTTTTTTTGACTGTTCTACTTCACTAAATATATTTTTCGGTGACATCCACTACTCTAGGGGTGTCACATTTTTACTGTCTTCTGCGAACGTCACACGTCTAAATGATTTTGATTTTGACTTAAGATGATATACTATCAATGGTAGCAAAACTGAACCATCATAGTGATTCCGTGCTTCCTCGAACGCACTTTCTTCTTCTTCACTTGTTAGTGTGAATTCTGTTTGGGTTGGGTCTAATAAAATACCAAAAAATGACTGGGGGACCAGTGTTTTGGGCAAAAATATGGTTAAATGAAATAATAAAATAAAAACACGTGATTAATTAGGATTTTTCCAACCCTGGCCATAAGTACAACCAAATCAGTACCGAAGTGCGGCGAACCTATTTTATAAACATGCTTAACTGAAATTCTGTTGAAGAAAATGGGGAGCAATATTACCAATGTAATGCTATCGATTCTATATATCCTGACCTTGAACGAATTAACCACTGGACCCGACATAAAACACAAATGTATGACAACTCGTTTAACCAAGGGGAAAATAACGCACACAATGATTTTATTACGTTAATATAAACACAGATACGAAATTCGTAGAACTTCACTCTATTTCTAGTGCTTGAACGTAGTCGATAAAATATATCGATGAACGACTGAGAAAGAAAAGTCGTATCGTAAATAAGCTGTAAGACAAAGGAAATAAAGAGATAATGAAGGTGAGGTAAGCTTCCGGTACTTAAATTTTAATTAACATAAAAGAAGCAGGACATTGACATGGACTTTTTATTCAATTAGTTATGATAAACGTCGAATTTTTTGTTAAGTTTAAATTATTTAAATAGGTTTACTGACTTTTATTATGTATCATCTGTCTTAAAATGCGTTTCTTAGAATTTGTTTTGTTCACTTGTTTTCTTTTATAAGCAATTCTAATATTTATTTACTTTTCAGCAACGGCTTTCGTTAATTCTTCGACGTCTTCAAATCGTCGCGTTTTCAAATTTATGGAAATGAATGTCTTAGTACAACGGAAGTTGCAGCAATGTTTCTGTTACTTTCTGCAGGAGAAAGTCTGTTGTGTAACCTTTTTTAGTCTTTTATTCTGAACACCCTTCGTAAGTTCGAGTTCGCAGTGCTGAGTATCAGTTTTCCCTTGTCTTTATGGGCAATGAGACTACCTTCATTGGTGTCAATTTGTGTTTCTTTGCATTAGTATTAAAACAGGCAGTATGGAAATGTACACTGCATATGGCGCTATGTTTCGTCGGAATCCAGATATCATCTCTACGAACTACTTCTACTCACTTTCACTTTCACTTCTACCCACTTTCTTTTCCGAGAAGGGTCACTAGGAAATCTAAAAATTCGTGTAATTTACTTGTTTAAATATTTTAAGTAAAGATACTAATTATAATTTTTGCATGTATAATATTTTTATTTAATTATAAAAATTACTATTATAAATTTAATGACATCAGATTGTAGGTTACTGTTATATAAGTATTTTAAGTGTTATTGTATTGTACAAATAACATCATCATTCATTCGGTTATATCGTCAAATATCGATATATTTTTCGACATGGTCAAGCACTAGTCGATGTCAAATTGACTCACTCCACAGTTTTAGTCATTCGATCCGAATGGTATAATCCAGCCATTTTGTGATGGTTGTCAGATGTCAACAATACATAGAAATATCGACTACATTTAAAATAGTTGGATAATACAAAATTTTATTTTACATTTGATTAAATTTTGTGATAAATAACAATAAATGTAATAAAATAATGTACTTACAAATGAAAAGAAATAGTGCTGCTTCCGCCGCTATAGTTTTTACACTATTTAACTGAACATTTGGTCATTTTTGGGAGATGTTTTGTTGACAAGTAAGTGCTTGAGACTGACGCCAAAACAAAAGACCAAGGCTTGAATTTCCTGGTTACTGACAAGACCGGTATAGGTAAGTCCGCCTATATGTCGGGTCTAGTGGTTAATTCGTTCAAGACCCTGACCTACCTGTACAGGATATGTGATACAAAAAATGAATTATGACTCACAAATCCAGTAGCAGAGGCAAACTGATAAAAAAGTACCGTATATCCTAACTTACCCTCTCGGAAGTGACAATTGATATGAAGTTGTTCCATCTTATAAACAAAATACAAGTTTATTCCATTACTCAGCAAATTCCTAACTTTTATTTTTATTTCCAATCTAAATAGATTCAATATAAAAGAACTCAATCAATAAAAAAAGAAAAGAAAAGAATGTAATAAGAGTTACATTATTTTTTTATACTTAATGCATTTTTTGAACATTTTTAACCTCTCAAACACCAAGCGTCCAAATTTGACCACTTCGATATTCCGTCAAAATTCATGAGGTCAAATTTTACCGCACCCACACACTAAGCACTTTAACCCATAAATGCCTATGTTTAGAGACTACTTTTCTATGAAAAAGTTTGGCATTATAGAATCAATATGAAATTTTCTATCCTGTAGTTAGTCTATGGATATTAATTTATATTCTACGTTCATTACGTACGTCATTTTCATTTGGATGTTGTTGTGTTGATTTTTGGATTTTTCAATAATAATAATAATAATAAAACATTTATTCATTACCACCAATATAGTTACAGTGAGCAGTATACACAGAAAAAACCAAAATTACAAAGTGTAGTAATGAATGGGCTCTAGCTCAGCATAAATGTTGCAGTTGCCTACAACGCTGTTATTCTGCCAGCGCCCAACAAATGAAGAGTACAGTACGCGCGCATCCCTGCTTATATTAAATTTAACAACTGTTCATATAAGTGTCGTGTTTTCCTAAGTATTAGCGAGTGTTTTTTTTTTGCGAGTATTGCTAGTATTACGAGTATTACGAGTATTATGAGTATTATTACGAGTATTAGCCAGTTCAAATTAATAATTAAGAAATATATAATATAATAATATAATATAAATTATCATAGATTTTTCCATAAAATTTATATTATTAATAATTATTGCAACAATACAACTAATAGTAATAACAACAAAGTATTAAATAATATGTATTTTACTGAGCCTAACTTATTTGAGCTTATAAATCTACTACCGCCTTCTGGCAATATTTATATATTTTATTTATAAAACTAAAATGTAAGAATAATACGATTATGACAGTAATTGTTCGCTCAATAAGTGACGTCTATAATTCTTTTTAAAACTGTTTTTACTTGTCATAGTGCGTAGAGGGGGGTGGGAGATCATTCCAACACTTAGATGCCATAAACTTAAAACTGCCCCGGAAAGCCGATGTTTTGTGTTTAGGGACGCATAAAACTTTAGAGCATAGTCGAATTTTATATAAATGTTGGTCATTTCTCCAGTTAAGTTTTTTGTATAAATATTCTGGGTTCTTTGTATTTATTACGCCGAATAGCAAAGAAGCATAAAAAAAGTTTGAGACGCCCCTGCATTTTTAACATATTCGAAGCGTTAAGATATGACGTGACATGAGATCGTCTCGGTATGTAAAAACAATAGCGTGCACAAGCATTCTGTACCCTTTGGATTAATTTTTGAGATTTCTTAAGCAAACAAGGTCCGTAAACAGTTATACAATAATTTAATTTAGCTAAAACTAGAGTTTCACAAAGTTTTACACGTAAATTAACTGTAATGAATTGTCTAAATTTGTATAGAACTTTTAACCTGTAAAAGCAGTTTTGTACCAAATTGGTTACATGATTTTCAAACCTCAAATTGCTGTCAAAAAGAATGCCCAAATTACGTGCTTCGCGAACTTGTGCAATTGTCTCTCCATTAACACGTATATCGGGTTTAGTTATACCAATATCGTGTACCTGCTTTTTAGTGCCAATGATAAGGAATTTCGACTTTGAAGGATTAATTACCATAGAGTTATTTTGTGACCAATCGCAAATACGTTGAAGATCCTGATTTAACTTATTTACTAAAGCATTAATATTTTTTCGATCTATGGGTAAGTAAACCTGTAAATCATCGGCGTATAGATGGTATTTACAGTTTTGGAGACAGTTTATTATATCAGCGCTATAAATAATAAAAAGTAAAGGCCCTAACACGGAACCTTGAGGAACACCTCTATCAACAGGAAGAAGCTTCGAGACACAGTTTTTACCATTGTGCCCGTCTAAAACTACTTGTTGATGACGGTCAATTAAATAGCTTTTGAACCACTTGAGTGTTTCTTTATCAAAGCCGTAATATGAAAGCTTACAAATCAGCAAATTTGTGTTAATTGAGTCAAAGGCCCTTGAAAAATCTAATAAAGTGAGAATAGTACCTTCTCCAGAATCCGAAAAAGATAACAGATCATCCACGACATTAATCAGAGCTGTTGCTGTACCGTAATTTTTTCTAAAACCTGATTGTAGGTTGGGTATTATTTGATTTTTTTCACAGAAATTCAAAACTTGTGAGTAAACAACCTTTTCAAGTATTTTCGATAAATAAGGCAGTATACTAATGGGTCTTAGGTCACCTACATTTGTTGGGTTACTTTTTTTTGGTATTGGACGAATAAGCGCAGTTTTCCAAGAAGAAGGGAAAACAGACTCTGTAATGGATTTATTAATTATTGTAGTTATAACATTTAAAGTTATCGGGAGCGTTAGAATTATCATATCCATATTAATGCGGTCAACGCCTTGAGCATTTGACTTAATTCCCATTATGATTTTTGCAACTACATTTTCATGAACTGGCATTAGCTTAAAAGTATCAGATATACGGTTTATACTTTCCAAATTAATTACATTAGGTGAATAGGCGATGTTTGTTCCCGGTATACTCAAAAAGTGACGATTAATTTCGTCGGGATCACTAAAATATTCTGGTAATTCATTCGAACTTTTAAATGATGGTAACGCAAATGACTTCAAATTTTTCCATAGAACATTTGTGTTATGTAAATGTTGATTAATGTGGTAATCAAAATATGCCTTCTTCTCGGCATAGAGAGTGCTGTTTACCAGACTTTTAAGGGTCTTATATTGAATTTTATCTCTCTCAGTTTTAGTTTGACGATATTTATTGTGCGCGCTATCCCGGAGCTGCATAATGTACTTAACATTACTCGTGAACCATGGCAATTGTTGCTTACGCATAATTATTAGTTTCTCTGGAGCATGTTTATCAAACAACTCTAAAATGCGTTTGGAGAAAACAGAAACCATATCGTTCACACAATTGTACCTAGTAATGCTATCCCAATTTATGGATTCAACTTCCGACTCAAAATCTAACAGATTGATATTTTTCATAGGTCTTATAATTTGCTGCCTTAGAGCTAGCTTAGGTCGTTTAATCTTAAAATCAACTAATATGATAGCATGACCACCAAGTTCAGGAGTATATTTTACACTAGTATTAGTCACACCGGCGTCCGTCATTACCAAATCAATTAATGTAGCACTCTCTTGTGTAAAGTGGGTAGGTTGAAAAATACAGTTTTTCAACCTAGTATATTGCAAGAATTGATTAAGCTGTTGCGTTTTGTTGTCACTTTCATCCAAAATATTTATATTGAAATCTCCTAATAAAATTATATTATCGAAATTTGAATACGAAATTTTCTAGTGTTTTATGTCGATTTAATATAAAATCGTTTTAAAAGTTTTTGTGTGAATATAATTTATCTTTGTACGTAAATAATTTCGAGTAGTATATAGAAATAATTGTGATTTTCACGCTGTCGGCATCCGCTTGGTATGTTTTTTTTTTTTTAATAAAAATACAATAAAATATTTTTGTAATGAACTAAAACCTGACTTTTGGTTAGACCACAGGATAGAGAATTTTGTATAGATTTTATAATGCCAAACTTCTTCATAGAAAAGTAGTCTCTAAATATAAGTTTTAATGGTTTTAAGTGCTGTGGGTTGGTGCGGTCGCATGCGACCGCTCGGGATTTGCCAGGCGCATGCGACCGCATGGGAATTTTATGGGGATTGAAAGGTTAAAATAAAAAGCTTTATCGCTATCGCTCCAATAGTATAAGAGTTTTTTTTTTTTTGTTAAAAAATGTTACATTAAAAAATAATTGAAAAACGAGACAAAGGAGAGCTGAGCTTCAAAGAACCATTAGGGTGCATATAAGCCAGTATTGTTTAAAGATGTTAGAAATTTATTTTTTTCATAAGCAATTATTAATCTTTTATGCAAATCCTACAAAATAATATACAAGGTATGACTTAAATACTGTAAATTGAAAATATATTACTTAATAAAAAAATATTTGAATTGTGAACCTTATGTTTTTTTGAAATTGATTCAAAATCGGTCTGTGGTTATATTGCTACACTAGTATTCTCTAAACATGTGGCCCTTACTCAGTTGAACTGACCCATTTGTGGTGCAGCCATAATAAAGCTGCAATATGCAATATGACCAAATATTGATATACAAAAAAAAAACAATTTGCAGTCTCGAACAAAAGTAACACTCAAAACTGTCCCCAACTTAATTTGCCTTAATTGTAACTCTTTAGCAGGTAGGTTAATTACATGACGAGACGACGTCGAGGGAGCAACATTTGACACTGTTGTGGCACACTAATAACAACCATCGACCAAAGAAGACTGCATTGTCAGTTGCCACCTTCAAGGTCTAAGATGGAATGCCTCTGAGTCTTATTTTATACTTGGGTTTCATATCTTTTAAATTAGAAAACAGTGCAATGTTGCATAACAACAAAAGGGAAGAGGTTGGTACTTAGCTTAACTGATTGAAAAGCAGTACTACCAGCCTGCCACCTATAACTGTTAGTAGGTATTGACATAAAACCAGTGTACTTACAGATCCAAACTTATTCAAGTGATTCAAATAGAAAGTCTTCACTGTGAACATTGGCTCTTTCTTCACCACTTTAATACATGTAGACATCTGCAGGCCACGTGGCGTCGGTATCATAAAGTAGTCGGCGAAGGCCTTTCTATTGAATGTCGCTGACATGAGTACAACTTTGACCCGCGGAGATACTGTATAAAGTAGCTTTTTGACAACAAGCAGAAGGAAGTCCATCTCCTGTCCACGTTCATGCACTTCATCCAATATAACGTGCGTGTATTCATTCATATTTTTGGCAGAAACTAAAACAAAAAGTTTTATACAGATTTCTTAATATACATACATCGCAGTAATCGGGGCGACACTCAATAGATGGTGTGACGATCTGAAGAAATAGGCAGGTAGTCAATGGATGCAAGTGACACAGTGCCATATGTTGTAAAAATCTATGAGGGCAGTCTGTGTTCAGCTAGGACTAGTGGTGAGCAGTAGTAGTAGAGCAGTACTACGCTCTTAAGACATTGGAAAAGGTTATAGACAGATATATAATGTAGCTCTAGCTACGAGGTGCATACATTACAACCAGCATGCTTACTGCAGAGGCAAATCTACAGAAACAGCCCTGATCAGTGTCATTGACAGGGTCGAAAAATCTCTGGAGAATAAAGAAATAGCTCTTTGTGCCTTTCTAGATATTGAAGGAGCGTTCGACAGCAACTCCATATCACTGCTAATTGGGGCCTGACATCTAAAAATGCTGACCACCATCATCCATCACCCCATACAACCATCAGATGGGTGAAGTCGATGCTCTCAAACAGAAAGGCAAAATTAGCGCTGTTTCAAACTTCGATCGAGGTTGCAACTACAAGAGGCTGCCCACAAGCAAGTGTTTTGTGACGCCTTCTTTGGACACTTGCGGTTGACCAACCATTGTACAAAATGGCAGACCTCCGCATTGACACACTGGGTTATGCCGATGACCATTGATGATCATTGCGAGGGGCTTTTGCCAAAGTACTTTATCATCAATCATACAAAGAGTCCTAAACACCATAGGCGAATGTAACACACATAATATTTATCACGATCCTTGATCATGATATTTATTGAACGTGTAGTATCAAGTACTGATGGATCGCGATACGGATCACAGAATTTCTAGATTTCCGAAAATCCATATCGCGATCCAAGGATCGTGATAAATAGTGCGCGTGTAGTTTTGCTGCAATACGGATCGCGTCATGTGCATGATTATTTTTTCTATAGGCCATAAGTTTGATTAGATAATACATAGTAAATTATTTCATTGATATATGTAATGATGACTTAAGTAAACGCTTAATAATTCCATCACCTATTATTTCTCCATTGTCATTTGTGTAGGTAAAAAAGCTCATATACAAGGCCGCGCTGAAAAATCCACTACATAATTTCAATCTCCCGCCATTCGGGAGCTTACTGTGCGTAATTTTGTGATTTTGTGTTTGTCTTCTTTTTCTGGACTGTTTCTTCTATATTTGTTGAAGCATGTGCCCATGTCAAAAACGATGATTGGACAAAAGTGGTAGAAAAAACAAAAAAAATATTATGGATGACTTTGAGAGACATTAATTATGACTGCAATATTGAAAACCAAATAACAATTAATCTAAACAACGACAGCTCATGTAGTTTTACTGCAAGTGATTGAATAAATTTATTTTTAATCTAGTTTCAATCTAAAACTTTTATAATTGTGCCTCTAGAAATAAGCAGTTACAACAAATACGAAGAAACTGATCTGAAACTGAAATCTTGTGTTTTATTATCCATTTTTAATTTATTCTCGTATTATTCAAACCAAACTATAAATGATTACTAACTCTAAATAATCGATATCGATTTTTTTAATAATCGAATATTGTACATTCCCATTTTTTGGTTGGGAATAAGTCTGACAGCGGTCTAAATGTATTTCTTAGATTTGGTTGACTATAAATTGTCACAAAATTTAAGTAGATTTTCGACGTCTGTTTTGTTCTTCGATGAAATCAAACACAATCAAATCTCGAGAAAGATTTGACTCCTTTCTTTTTTATTTAAGTGGTCACTGGTGCAGCAGAATATCCATCTTGAACACCAACTTCAACATTATTTGAAGCTTAGGATCCGACTGCAGTAAAGTGAATTATCAGAACTTGGTACAGCTTAAATGGCAGCTTTGTCTCTATCGTTCGTTTTGTCGTGGCTTTAATGTCATAAGTATACCAATCTTTACTTCTCTCTCTTCACCCATTCATTGTTTTATCAATGTTTACCTAAAATTTAATAGTACTCTTTTGGCGACACAATCACTTCATGTTGACGGTAGTCTTTTTCCACCCTTCTGAATACTCTATCAGGAGGTATAAAACTATGGCCTCGAATAGGAAAAATGTGGCTTAGTATAAGGCTTAGTATAAGTAACCTTGCTAGAAGCCATGATATTCGCTAACATAGTTAACATGATAAAGTTTTTATTCTAACTGCTGCAAAAATCGGATTAAGTTCAAGCTTCAAATCTTTTTTATTTTCTCTTAAGACCGATTTACACTTCGACAACTACAGTAGCGAGTTTAGTTACAGGGCAGTTGACAGTAAACGGTTAAGTGGGCAGTAGCGTTCAAACAATGTCTTCGTGGCGAGTTTAGTTAAGGACATTAGTTCATAGAGTTCATTGGAGTATGACATTCCAAGACTACAGAATTTTTCCGGTTTTCGTTTAAGACGGTTCTAGGATTACGTCAAGAATTAAATGATCTAGTCAGAGAAGTATTAATGGTTGTTGTTAAAGAAGTTTTTAAGAATTTACATGAGTGCAGCATCTCGAGCAGGTTTAATTTTACATTTTGAACTTCTACTATCATACAGTGTGTCCGGTCACGGACTAGCGATATTTTAGGTACTTATAATACAGCTATTTTAATATAAAAATACACTACACACTGAGGTTTAATCCCCTTCCCCTCTATTTGGCAGCCATTTTGTTTTTTCTTGAGATATTCTCTACGCGTTTACGAAAAAAGTCATATCTCTGAAAGTTTTAGTCTTACTGAGATAAAAATTAACTCATTCGGAGGCCAATAATATTGTTTATCGTTTACATTATCAAAATTTTTGTTGACATACTTGTAACTTTGAAGAAAAAAAATTTAACTTCAAATAAATATCAAAAAAATATGCTAATCGGTAAATTATTGTAAATTACTGCAAAAACAACCCCGTTTACCCTTCTTATTTTTATACTAGATCGACAGATTTTGAGTTAAGCTACAATGCAACATAAAGTTTACAGCTGTATGTTTATTACTTTAAGAATTATTGTTGTTTGAACATGGCGTATGCCCAAACACAAAAGGCCTTTGTTAAGTGACAACTGGCACTGCCTGCCTAGGAGTAATAGTGTTCTGTGCTGCCTGCTCTCAAATTATACTACTTATAAATGATGATTCTGATTCTCTGATCTCTAATTCATCATCTCTAATTCATCGAAGATCATAAGTAATCTCAGATTAGCTATAAAGAGTATACAAAACAGCAAAAAAAAATAACATTTGTTTTTTTGTTTGTTGTATTGCTTTGTAAAAACGCTCCTCAATGGGTCCAATACACTGTCAGAGCCTGGATAATACGCAATTGGCTGTCGTCACAATATTATATGGCCAAATATTACTGTCTGTGTCTAATTTTTAAACTTCTGAACATTAAAAAAAACCAGACCTGAGTGGTTAAATTTATAAATAGCCTTCAATGCCAAGTTTTCATGTAGCCTGATATAAATATGGCAGGCAAAAAGTGAAATTTTTCTTTCACATTTTTTACCTATCTAACTCGCAAAGAACTTTTTTAAATATTTATGATAAATTACCTAATTTTTGTAGCAGTAAACCGGTTGTCACATAATGAATGCGAGTATCATTTGAGACTCGACTCTCAAGCGCCACCTATAAAGAAATAACATTAATTTAATATCTGTATAATCACATTCATCTACAATAATTATAAAACATAATAAAATATAACATAATAAGGCAGAAATAATGAGTACAATGCCAGAACTTGAACTGCCCTAGTAATAATGATAATTAAATAAAGTTAATCTGGTATATATTGAGATTCTTTGATATTCCAAAAATAGATAAAAAAAGAAGAAAAAAAGAAGAGAGTAAGAAGTTCATTAATTTTTTTAACTTTACAATCTTTAAAAATCTTCCTTTTCTTCCTACTATAAAATGAAAAGTGAGATATACTCATGTAATAAGAGATATTATTAAATAATTATGGAATTCACAGAACAGTCACGGGACGCAGAGCCATCAATCCTCCTGAAAAGTGTCATGGTTATAGCAACTTTATCTCATTATGGAACGATGCATGCCCAGACCCAGACTTTTAACAGGTAGATAGGGACAAAGAAATAAACATAAGACAACAAAATATTACCTGGTATCCAACAATACCACCAAGGTCCCAACCACGTTCCTGAGCTACTCTTTTAGCTATTGATATAGCTGCTATTCTTCTTGGCTGAGTCACCACAATTTTGCAAGGTTTACGATTTTTATATGAATCATCAAGAATCCATTGAGGTACTTGTGTTGTTTTTCCACATCCTGTTGGACCTTCAATTATTACTACTGGAAATCCTGAGATACGATCTAGAATCTGAGGATGCAAATTTTATACAAAGATTAATCAAAGTAAAAAAAAATAATTTATGTAAAATAACAAGTACAATATGCTGAGATAAGTGCCAAAATTGCTGGCTGCATTTTCTCACTAAATGGCTACTCACAATAAGAAATGAAAGAGATCTCTAATCCCTAGTTGGGAATATAATTATTTTAAGTTTTTGTACTTTGAATTTGCGGTGTTTGCTGTTTAACCCGTTAGCTCTGACAGCGCGCGACATGTTATACTCCCGTTCCCTCAGGACCTTAATGGCGGGAAAATTTCTAAGTTAGGAAATTTTTTGCTATATTGCAAATTTTGCTATATTTTCACTTTGAGACAATATTTATGGATAAAACTTACAGGAATTCTTGTTGAATGTATAAACTATCGAATAAAATTATTTTTGGTTGCTAGAAATTGTAATAAAGTATATAAATTACCCTGTATAGCATAGTAGTAGTATATACTTCAATTTTAGTGACAAAATTACTACTAATTTGAATTCTACACTTTTGTTTTTGGAGAAATTTATATGAAATTGTTTGGAAATATGTATATTTTTATGTTTTATGTGTTTCCATTCGTTACTCATACCAAAATATTAAAATATAAAAAATAAAAAAAAATAAAAAATAATATTTTATCTGTATGACATTTCGAACAATATTTCTAAAATATGTTTGTGTGAATTTGAAATAAATACGTCATGTTATTTGAAATATGTAGGAAAACTATTTTTACTTACATTTTACACTAAAAATAAATGAGAATTTGAAAAATAACACATTTATGACCCACCCGCCAAAACGGGCCTTCCGGAATTTGAAGTACTTTTGGCAATTTACTTTTCACTTTTTATACCACAAATTACATATCTACGTGTTTACTATATTACAAGGAATATAAAAAAAGTATAATACTTTCGTTTTTAGTCCAGACACAAATATGAAATTCTATAAAAAAGACGGAGCACCTTCATCAAATCGACACGTGGAACGCCGAAAGTTCAGAGTGATTTCTTTTTTTTTTCTAAGAAACATTGCCAGGTTATGGTTTAAAATAAAAGAGCATGTCTTAGTCTTTGATACTATTATCTATTGCATATTGTCTTTGGTTTTGTTAAGGAAATTAAGTAGTTTTTTCATAAGGCAGTACTTCTGATCTAACCTGATCTAATTAGCCCCGTACTAGAGCCGACTTAGACTATTGCATGGTTCAAATAGTCACATCCCTGTTACGTGCGTGCACCAACTAATTATGCTGTCTCTGTGACATAATGGCCCTAATCAGTACACAGAATTTGCCACCATATCTATACTATATGAAGCATCACACACAGGACATTAGGTTTTATTTATTTAGAAATGCAATACTTGTGGGGTTTTTCTAAAGCTGATTAGTACATAAACCTTACGTAAAGACAAAGCTAACAAGGGAAGGGACTTGTGAAGTATATCTTTTGGGTATTCACACATTCATTCATATGTAGTAGAGCCATGCTGCAACTATTTTGGTTGTAGCACAAATGGGTTGGCTCAACTGAGGAGGGACCACACTCTCACAGAATACGAGCATGGAATAGCGGCTAAGCACTGCTTTGTTTCATATGGTGGGTGTAGAGAACTAGAGGCCATTTTCACTGGAAATGAGCTATTCAAACTTAATCCTCATGGGTGGCATCTGCATTTTGGTTCGTGGTTAGGGGTGGATGTTTATGCACCACAGCGGCCACTTACTATCAGGTGGACTGTGGGCTCGTTTGTCACCTGTCACCCAAGGAGTGTTTTTATTTATCCTATTAAATAAAAAGACCCCTTGAAATACTAAGACACGCTGTTATTTTAAGGGGTGAAATCTTTAATGATCAACCCAAATGACCTCCCCTTGAAACCCAAATATCAATTGTAACTACAATAAAGGAAGAAGTACATAGGAGGTTAATTAGCAACATTTCTTTTTACAAGCTTGTATAGTCCATACATTATATTCAGAAATAAAAAAATATTTCAGATACAAATATTTATGAATTTTCAAATGTGGTGGCAACTAGATAATGTATCACTCCATCTCATCCAGTAGGCATTATTTAGATGACTATAAGAAATGCTATTAATCACACTCCAGTCTATTCCCTCACTCCCACAACACCATGAGATCAATCAGACTTGACCAGAGATCTGGCACAGGATCAAGGCTTTAAATTATTTCTAAGGCAAAATGGTCCAACATCCATTCCATCAAAAAATGCTGCTGAATTTTTTGATGGAAAAATCAATTACTGATTTTGGCCCGACTCAGGTTTCAAATCCAGAAGCACACGATCAACAGTTGCATGGTCATTAGAATAATTTCTGAGTTACCTGCAAAATGTACGTCGCACTGATCAATTTGAAAAAAAATTTAAAAGTATTCTATATGAGCTTTTTAGTGTCCTAGAGTTTATAATAATTTATTTTCTTCCCCTCCCCACCACTCCCCCCCTTATTTTTCGCCGTGTATCGATAATGATACACATGACCTATGAAAAAGTTTTGACTCAAAACCATTTCCCCAGGTTTAATTTTTCTATATATATATATATATATATATATATATATATATATATATATATATTTGGAATCTGGAAGTATACTGCGGCAAATCCAAGTCCAAAGCGTCTGATGTATCGGAGAAAACAGTCATGTCTCTTGCAGAAGGTCTGCTTGAGGAACTCTCACTACTCTGACTCACCTAGTTGGAACCCTAAGAGCTAACAGAAAGCACCTACCAAAACATGTTATATATATGAAACTGAAGAGAGGAGAGATGTGTGCCAAGCAAACTAATGATGGGATAGTAGCACTGAAATGGCAAGACAAGCGTGATGTGAGGATGCTGCCTACTAAAACATCTGCGCTCAAGAGTCACAATTCAGAACAGGAATAAGCCAGCCATTCACAAACCGGAGTGCATTGTGGACTACAATAATGGAAAATCTTCAATCAATATATGTGATTCGATGGCAACATAATATGGCTCAGCTCTTAGGCGATGTACGAAATGGTATTGTAAGCTGTTTATCGAAATTTTGTGGGGAACTTCTCTGGTGAATGCTCATTTCCTCTATAATCTAAATACATCAGCAAAGAAAATGACAATCACAGAGTTCCGAGAACAGGTTATTGTAGATATGATTGACAAGTGTTCTCAGAGAGTAGATATAGCGCCTATACCTTCAACATCATCTTCAAAAAGGAAGGCACCGAATGTGAAACACTACCTCATAGACAATAAGGTCGGTGAAAAGTTGGTTTGAGGATGCTGTAAAGAGTGTTATAATATGTATGGAAGGGAGGGTAAAATTATAAATGGCAAGAAGGTTAGAGCAGCACAGGTTTGAACGAAGTGCTCTACCTGTGATATATTTCTATGCCGAAAATTGTTCAATAAAACTCACTAGAACAGAATACTCATAGAATTTATATTCCTAAGATTTTTTAGTTTTTTTTCAAACATGGTTATAAGAGGATTACCGGAGGTTTTTCCTTTTTAAGGATGATTATTAGTTGTAAGAAATGTGTTTATAATTTTGATGTTTTTTTATAAATAAAAATTGTGCTAAACAAATTTTTTTTTTCTTCAAAATTAACACGTTAGCTGCCATGTCGGACTATATGTCCGACAAGCTAATGTTTCAATCAGGCCATGTCAGACTATGTGTCCGAGAAGCTATACTTCCATTCAACTCCTCGCTGTGGGTTGTCGGACGCTTTTTAATCGAATTGGTGTATAAAACGTGACCCGCAAGGCCCCATAAAGCTTATAAACAGCAGGTCAACCTAACTTTTATCAACTGTTTAGTAATAATAGCAGTATGAACATCGAAGGGACAGTAATTTTAAATAAAAATTATATAGTTCAAGTTAAATGTTTATTATTACTACTTTTGGAGAACATAATTATGATTATCTTTAAAAATGAAATGTCGTCAATTGTATTAGCAACAGTAATTAAAATTAGAGATATAAAGGTACAAAAAATTACTTATAAGAAGTATTGTAACAGTTAAGACACAAATGAGGTTTTTCTGGACAGCCAGGGCAATAAGTCGCAACTTTTTTGTCTTTTGCGTGCTTGTAGTCTTCCTAGATTCTTGACATTGTTTTTGTAACAATGTTGGCAGTTCTTACGAATATTTTTAGAAACGCCTTCTTTCCGTGTAAGCTTATGTATTCCTCGCAATGGTCTTACCGGTCTTGGTGTATCTATTTCCTGTGGAGTAGCCATTAGATATTTTTTACTATGGCTTGTCTGAATTTTACAATGGAAATATTCTTTTTTGTTTGTTTATATAGAACTAAGGCATTTACAATTGATGTATTGAGTAGTAACTCGCAAGCAAGTTTTCGATACCATTTTACTGTATTACGCAATGATGTTGAATATGCTAACATTTGATCAGACAGGTCTACGGCTGACTTCGCTTGGTTGTAGGAGAAAATAATTTTGGGTTTCTTGGTAACAAGGCCCCATTTACTCGTACTTTCTTTTTGTGTGTTAGAGTGTTTTTTAGATAGCAGAAGTACTTCGCGTTTATCTCGCCACTTCATAACGGTTATATGCCTTTGATTCTCTCTAGAAATATATTCACCAGGTTTGAGCTTTGTTTCAGTGACTTCTTTCGGCAATCTCTTTCTATTTTTGCGGAGCGTACCAACCAGATGCAACTCTGAATCAAGTAACTTGTCTGCTAAATCTACACTGGTATACCAGTTATCGGTATACAGTGTGTCCTTTATTCAACAGGTTACTACTAAGATTAAAAACTACATGTGTTGGTGTATTATTTTTAGACTCGGAACTTTTCCCTGCATATATTTCTAGCCTAAAAGTGTGCACCTGGCGTTGTGCACACTTTGAAAATCTTTATACCGTATTTATGCCTCTTCTGTTTCAAGTACTGTCTAAATATAATTCGGCCGCGAAAAGGAATGAGGCTTTCGTCTACACATAATGACTCATTGGAATATGCTTGAAAATTCATATTTAGTGTTTTAACTAGTTTATCTATTTTGTGTAGTCGGTCACCCTTTTCAGTTTCTTCATTATTTGAGAAATGTAGCATACAAAGTAAAATTTCAAATCTGTTTCGAGTCATGGCCATTTTTTGCGAAATCTTGTCGAACATCGGATCTGTAGACCAATAATCGACAAGAGATGGTAATCTCACTAACCCCATGCACAGTATAAGAGCAAAGAATTTTTTTATCTCTTTGACGTCTGTAGGTTTGTGAATTATTGAGACTCATTTTAATTTTTATTATTTATTAATATATTTAAATTAATTATTAATTTCATCTAAATCGTCTTGACTTAATTCTATATCGGCGAAAAACATAGTTCACAGTCGAATATTTACTGTTTATGACACTTATGTACTAGATATTAACGAATAGTTAAAATAACCTCAAAATCGTAATAAAACAAAAAGTGGTTCAATTGCAATTCCGATGCAATTGCAACTGATCTTGGCCTAGCCTAGAGCGAGGGACAGTGGAATCATGCATTATGATTGGCCGAAACTCTAGGACAGTGCTTCCTATTGGCGCGCTACGTGACCAAATAATAAACGTCATGCACGTGTCCAACAAAGTGACCCGGTAGCGCGGCGTAGTGTTAAAAAATATTCCATTCAGGCCTTGTCAGACTATATCTCCGACAAATTGTAAATATGTAAATAATAAGTATATGAGCAATGTAAAGTAGGTATTACTATATTTTTAGGTGTTTTCAAACGGTTCTGGACAAAATTTAAAAAACAAAATTATTTTTCGTTTTTCGAAAAATCTCAAGAACCATTTGTCCTATCCCCAACCCAAAACAACTAAAAAACTCTCCTGGGTCAAAGGATTTTTTTAGCAGTAGAAAATGTATAGAAGCATGTGCATTAGGGCTACACAAGGCAAAAACCAAAAGGTAGGCTGCATATTGTGAGCGATACACAATGTTTTGACAGTGTGTATCATTAACAATACACATGACGCTGAGCATGTTAACTACTGGAATTTTAAAGACTGATAAGATGCAATATAATGGCTGTAAGAGGAAACACCTCACTACAGCAGTTACCAACTCGCACACCTAGCGTGGCAAATATTGCAAATATATGGAAAAAAGAATAAGATAATAAAGAAGAAAATTTACCTGCTGTCGGAACTCATTTATAGCTAAGTTGTTTGCTTCCTCCTTCCTTTGGAAAGAGTATTTGCTATACACTTCAGTCATTGCTTCTTCCGTTAATTTTTCAATATTTTGCATTGAGGTGCCCCATGTTGAAAGCTGCTCCATGGAATCTAGTCCACCAGCAATACTCTCGTACTTTTCTCTCTCTCTCTCATTCTAAAATTGCAAGTTTTTAAAAACAAAAAAAAAACATGTAGTTTTAGTAAAATTTTGGAAACTTTTCTGTAAAGCATAAAAAATATTGCATATTTGCAAAAAATAATAAAACCACTTTAACAAAATTAGTTCATTACCCGTTTCCAATGCTGAGTCAATATTTTCTAGGATTAATTTCTAAAACTAAGTAAAATACCTTTAAATAAATTTCTGTCTCCCTTTCCTTGATTTCGCGGGCATAGTCTGTCCCGCTTACAACAACGGACCGGCGGTGCTCTTCAGGTCTGTTAAGTTGATTGATATTATCTTCTTTTGTAACCCTATGTCCACCAGTAATTGGACCTCGAAGTTTTGTAACTTGAGAACTAGATGGGAACGGATTATTAAAAAAAGCCCGTAGCTCGTCCATTCTTGAAAATCAAAATTGAAGTACAACTTTCTTCCAACAGATTATGATGAAACCATTACCAGTTGTGAGTTATTTCGCAATTAATCTACACGAAAACAATAAAGTTCTGTAGGTATATATTCAATATTTTTGAAATAAATTTATAGTTTATACACAGTAACCACGCCACAGACGCAGCGCATAACCAGAGTTGCCACCTCAAAAATTATCTTGTCACTAGATTAAAAATCGCCATATTTTGGAAATTTGGATTCAAAAAATACCACCAGTGCCCTGTTTATCAAAACTCACAAGTCTACTTGTTCACAAGTTACACTTTACAAAAAAGTTTTACAAGTTCGTGTAAATTACGTTTATCAAAAAAATCTGCAGGGCTTGTAAAATGTAATATTTGTAGGTTCTACTTGTAAGTTCTAAAATCAATGTATGCCGCAGTCTTTTCCCGCCCTTTTTTCTGCTTTTTATTGAATATCCCTATTTAAACGCATGGCTGTATGGTATATTGTCTGTGCCTAATATTGATGAGACGTTAAAAAAAGTAGTAGCACAGATGGACAAAGTATTCCCGTCTTTTATTTATAACTTGATTGAAGTTTATTCGAATCTGTATTTTGCGATTTCTTAAAAAATGTCTAGAAATGATAATAAAATAACGGTTTTACAACTGATTCGCCTGAGAAAAAAGACATTTTATTTGGTGCATTTAGCGATAGGATGTCCAAACAAAAAAAAAAAATAGAAGAGTGGAAGAATATTTTAATTACATGTCAGTCGCTTGGTCTGCTACCTGCAGGAATAGATTACACCTACGTCCAAGATACATTTAACTCAAATTTAAAACCCCTTGTGCAATAAATCTCCAGCCATTTTCAAATTGCTCATATAACTGACCGTTTCTTAAAACTCTACTGTCATGGGTGCTTGCAGGCTTAAGTTGTTCAAAACGACTATAAATCAATAGCACGCTACAGACTATAAACTATAAATTTCTAGCGCGCTATTAAATACGCTATGTTATAGCGCGCTATTTATAAGAAAGCGTGTAGGAGGCCGGTAAGCGAGTTAAGTTTTACAACACGTTATATCTCTTAGCACGTTACATTACATGTCGTTCATTGGAATTCGCGTGCTATATAAGAACATTATTTCGTAATAAGTCGCATTTTAGTTTAAAATAAAATAAAGCGGTAAAGAAAAACCAATGCACGCGTTTTCATACTTTTTAGGCTTTATGCTATATTTATATTTTTAAGTTATGTACTATTTAAAATAGAATTAATTTAATGTTTAGAATCGAAATAAAATTAATTATTTTTTATTATAATTATTGTAAACGTTATTTTAACCTTAATATAAATCATAAATCAAATAAAGGTATATTTAAAAATTTATTTATTGTAATTATAAAAATCAATTATTTACATTACAACTATTATATACACTTTTAGATTTATATTTTATTTACATTTAAAAACATTTACATAAACAGTTAGGCTTCTTTTATCACAACTGTGTCCTTTGATCATTTATAAATATACAGTATACACTAACTGAACAACGTCTAGCATTAAATTAGGTCGCGTGCGATGAATAGCGCGCTACGAGATCAAATTTTCGTCACACGTCCTCTCCCAACAGCGCGCATATATACAAAATGCCGCTATACATAAATACTTGATAGCGACAAAGCGCCATAGCGCAATAGCGCCATGGCGACTACTTGCATAACACGCGCTATGTGTTATGAAGAGATAGCGCGCTATAATATTGCGCTATGCGCTATATTAACCAACATTATTCCAGGCTAATTAACATAGGAATAGTAAAACTTTTTCTCAGGACTGCACACAACCAAATAGTTAATGGAATGATTTCCGTGTCGATCTACGAATACTTCTTCATGTTGATGTCAGGCATCAATTTTCATTAAGGTACCATCTAGACAGCCACAAATTAATGGCATTCCTTTTAACATATGAAACCATCGTACTACCTCCTGCATATTATTCGGCCATTTAACGTAGTTTTCAAACATTACGGTACTGATGGCTACTACAACACTCTGGACTGCATTGCATACACTGCCTTTTTTAAACCATATAATAGTTCCTTACATATGAAATTGGCGTTTTGTACGGAAGAAATATAAAGTAATTTTTTTTTGTAAAATATATTTAATTAATCAAAGTATGCACCGTTGTTATCTATGCACTTTTGCCATCTTATAGATAGTTCATTGATCCCTTTACTAAAAAACGATGGGGGCGAGAATCAATAAACTCTTTGAAGGCGGTTTTGACTGCCGCATCGGAATTGATTGTTTTCCTTGTAAGACGTTGTCCAAATTCCGGAAAAAATGGTAATCTGTTGGAGCAAAGTCCGGGGAGCACGGTGAATGTCGCAGATATTCCAATTATAGCTTATCTAACTTAATTCTCATTTACTCAATCTACAAGGCGTGATGAGACAGGTGTCCACAGATCCACTATGTCTACATGGTAATATAAAGGATATAGCATACAAACGTTTTCTGTTTTTGGAAAAGCGTTTATTGAAGGAACCAGAACTTAAGGTCACATATTCGAAGGTTATAAATGAGTATGTAAGTTCCGGTCATATAGAAGCAGTGGGTTCTAATGAACTTGCGAAGAAATCTGTATATCTCCCACATCACGGCGTAGTACGTCATGACAATAGCACAACAAAAGTGCGTATGGTTGTGGACGCATCTTGTACAGACTCAAATGGGGTATCCCTTAACAACGAGTTAATGGTAGGCCCAGCACTTCAACCGGGACTTCGTCATATTGTTATGTGATGGCGACGCTACCCTATCGCTCTAGTAGCTGACATCGTCAAGATCTACCGGCAAATAAGAGTAGCTGATGAGGACTTAGATTTTCAGCGCATATTTTGGCGCGAAAGTCCAGATGCTGAACTTCAGCATCTTCGCTTTTTGTGAGTTACCTTTGGCACTTCATCGGCACCCTATTGGGGTGATCAATGTCTTCAACAACTAGCCCATGACAAAGGTTCCAAATTTCCATTAGTAGCGCCGAAAGTGCTACTATATAACAACAATACTATATACAATAGCCGAAGGCGTTCAGATCTATGACCAGATGACTGCTTTACTGAATTGTGGTGGATTTCCACTTCAAAAATGGTCTTTTTAATTAATTTTTTTAATTTATTTATTACACAAAAATACAGTCAGTTATTCTTAATACAAATTTCGCCAAACTGCAGGGCAGTTTGTTGGCGAATACATCACCCTCTTACATTTTATGTACCTACTGTCCTTAAGAATCTAAAATACACATAAACTGTAATTTAAAATGCAATCCTTAAAAACTTAAAAATGGGAAAATTAAATTCACAATAATTTAAAAGATTTAAAATAATTAAAACTTATTTTAAATCTTCTAAATTAAACACATTAAAATAACAAATTAATTTAAAACTATAAATTTAAGACAATATTAATTATTATACATATAATTATCCAGCAACCACGCTTTTAACTTCTTTTTAAATATTTCTTTACTACCGCATTCGTTTTCAGAAAATATCTCATTGAAAATACGTGGTACTAGATATTTTCTCGTCCTCTTGCCGTAATAATTATTAACTCTATGTTCAACGTATTTCTTTCGCGAAGTAATTCTAATATTTTTGTTAAACGTTCGAAATGTTTTAAACTCTAGAGATTTAAATTGATCTATTGCAATTAAGTACTTAAGTTTTACATGCACAGGTAATATTCTAAAATTTTTAAATAAATTATTATAATTTCCGTCTATGTTATATTTTTTCTTTGTTTTTTTCATCAATAAACAATTTTATTAATCTAATTTGCAACTTAAGAATTTTATCTGTATATGTTTGAAAAGTACGTCCATATGCAATTAGTCCATAACTCAGGGCTGAATCAGCTAGTGCATAGTAAAGCATATATAAAATTGACCTACTTACTGTAAGTTTTAAGTTATTAAGCCTAGATAATATGGATCTTAACCTATCACAGACAATGTCAATATGTAATTGCCAACTAAAACTACAGTCTATTGTTAGCCCTAAGTACTTATAACTATTCACAAATTCTATGGTTTTACATTCGCATTGTTCCAGTTTATTATGTAAGCACTCATACGAATGACCAATGATGTTCATTTCCTCACTAGGTTTTCTCATGTAAGAAGAGTGTAGAAGCATACACTTTTTTTATTTACGTTAAGTATAATGCCGTTGTCATGTGCCCATTTTAGAATATTAATGAAATCATCCTGCAACCTCTCCTCAATAATTTTAACATCCCTGTCAGCGTATATCAGGCACGTGTCATTGGCGTACATATATGTGCAACAATGTTGTACAACGTTATCAATGCTATTCATGTGCATGATGTACCCAACAGGTCCGAATACGGAGCAGGTTGGCACTCCCAATGTTACGTTGGCTTCTTCCCCAGTCGTTCCGTTGATCATAGTGTGTATTTTTCGATTCTTCAGGTAATTGCGGAACCATTTGTTCATTGGGCCTCGAATCCCACACTCTTGCATTGCTTCAAGAAGCATTTCGTGATCCAACGTGTCGAACGCTTTTTTGAAATCGATGAACAATACAACGACATAATTTTTATTGTTTAGTTTATCATTAACATCATCGGCAAATCGTGATAGTGCGGTAGATGCTAGTAATAGCATGGACTTATTGAACAAAATGCAGACTGATACAAAGGAATCAAATCATTCTTTGTTTTTAAAAACAGACGAAGTGATCATAATTCTCGGCCTGAAATGGAACAGAGACACAGATGAATTCCAGTGTACCGTCGATTTCCCACCGCTTCAATCTTTGGTTAAGAAGCGTATAATGATCTCCGACATTTTTCGGCTCTTTGATCTTTATACAGAAGGCGTGGCTATCTGGAATTAAATGGGATCAGCAACTACCGCCATCCCTACTTAAGGCATGGGTAGAATTCCGCAATGGTTTGC